TTTTGACATGAAAATTATTGTTTATCTTTCCCTTTAAATGAAACAGACAAAAATAGAAAAATAGATAAAATAAGTGAAACAAATAAAATATATTATATATATATTTATCATCAGGGATAGTACTAAATATTCATTTTTTATATTATACTATTAAAAATATTTTTATATTCAAAATATTACATTAACGTCTATTTATATCACATCGTATTACTATTTCAATTCAAAAATTTTACTATTTAAATCTCTAACTCAAAATCCAAACCCCAAACAATCACACCCTTAATATATTGATTTAGAGGTGGGAAGATATGTATATCAAAAATATAATTTCAATATTGTGGAGAACCATTTTTGTTAGATGATGTAAAAGACCGTCTGTTCTAAAAGTTTAAACTGTTAGGGATAGACATCTTTTATGTATTAATTAAAAATGAGGGTCAACCAACGCGTCCCCTCACGTAAAAAGAGAATATATGTTACTTTACAAAACTTGCACGTTGATAACGACGAATGATGATAGTAGGACTCGAACTCTAGACCTAAAACTCTGATACCATATTAAATTTTTGAGAAAAAAATAATTAATAGCATTAATAATAAAGTTGGCACCTATTTATAGACATATCCCAAAAAAGATAAACAATAAAGTAAATAAATATGCCAACAATTAATATACCAAAATTTCCAAATGTAAATATTTTTATACGGTTATATTGATTTTTCAGTACATCATACCAAAAGTTTGTATACCAAAAATATCGGAATACCAAATATACCAAAAAGATCGATATATAGAAAATTATTGGAATACCGAAAAATATTACTCTCTCCGTCCTACATAATTTGTCTCTATTTTCTATTTTCGTCTGTCCTACATAACTTGTCTATTCTATTTTTGGAAATATAATTATGCACTTTAATCGCATTTTAAATTTTAAATTTTATAATTTTCTTAATTTTAATTAAACTATTTACTTATCTTAATCTTAATCTATAATTATTTTTACTAAATAATAATTATTTTTTACTAATACACTTCTTAATTACTTACTAATTATACTTTACCTAAATTCTCGTGTCTACAGTAATACACCCATATTACATGGGACGGAGGGAGTAAAAATATTGAAAATGACATAAAATACCAAATTCTATTAGTAAATGTGTATATCGGTCCGATTACTTTGGTGATTTAATCAAATCAATATGATTACCAAATGTTTATAAAGAAAATAACAAATATTGAAATATTGATATAGAATATAACATATATTGAATAGAACATTATATAATTATATATAATAAAATATATCTTGATTTTAGTACCATAGTAATTTGATTCAATTAATAAACATCAATAAAAAATAACAAACATTAACACAGTATGCATCACACTATATAACACAATATATAATATTTGTTTTATGATGATTTGCTAATTATTTCAAGTTAATGTGCAAACTTTATAATGTGTTATATATTGTATAACGATTTGCTAATTCATTCATATTAATTTGCTGATTTAATCAAGATATTGGAAACCAATTTATACCGGCGTTATGATATATACCAAACTTCTATAGTCATAATATGCCACAATATATAGAATTTTATTGTTTCATCAAATCGAAAAATTGCATAAATTTTAATATTGTTTTGCTATGTCATGAATCATGTATACTATATTTTCGAGCAATTTTGGATATATAAATCACATACTTTTATATATATATATATATATATATAGACCGAAGATTTTGCTGATCCGGCCAAGTTAGTATGTTATTAATTTGATTGGATGAACATATGTCATATGTATGACCAGCATATATTTATACTAATTCAGTATATGTTGTATTATAAAATATCATATGTTAAGTTATAATATAACATATGTTATATTATGAATATGTTGAAATATATATAAGTACATATTGATCATCCCTACATACTAATCCGATCAAATTAACACCTTACTGACTTTATCGGATCAGCTGTTGATCCATGCCTATATATAATTGTTTACGCTATCATTTTTCCATGTAATTTATTGTTTTTAAAGCATATATCCTTTCATTGTTTTCACAATTTTCATTTATATTCTTATAGAAATATTTATGATCGATCCTTTTCAATTTTATCGGATTTATTCCACAAGAAATATATATATATATATAAATAAATAAATGGACTCGCGATGACTTTGACTAGTATGATAAATTATTCCAAGTATTAATTTAAATATCAGAATTTAGTGTACATATTGTAAATGCATTTGTATTGCATGAGTTTACAACGGCATTAACTATACTTGTGGCTATGTAACGACTTTCGATGGTTAGTTGAATTGGACATATCGAATTTTGTTTGTACTAAAGTATTTATATTACTATATATTTCATCTGTTCACTCGATGAGTATATATTTTGTTATTTTTTACTCCATTCGTTCTAATTATGATGTTGTGTTTACTGTAGATACGAAAATTTAAGAGAAATATGATTAGTAACTAATTAAAAATGTATTTGTAAAATTAATTATTATATAATATAAATAATTATATATTAAGTTAAAATAACTAATTAGTTTTTTTAAAAAATTATAAATTATTAAATTTAACATATGACTAAAACGTAAAATAATTTTTCAAAAATAAAAAGTGACATAATATGTGGGACCGAGGGAGTTTTATTCAAATATAAAGTATTCATTTCTTCCTTAATATGTCTGAACCCACATCGAACAAGAATAAATAATTAAGTCTAAATAGGTAAACTATGTGTGACAGATGAACCTAGAAGCGTCGAGATTTGAACCAATAATTTCACAATCATAAGTTCATTGTCCAAACGATCATAGCATCCCTTGCTAGAGAATAGTACATAGGTTTTGTTTATACATAGGTTTTTGGAAATTATTTTGATTTGAAGAATTTTAGATTAATTTTTTTTAATTGAAAAAATGACATTAGAGTTTGAAGTGTGTTTAGATAAAAAATTTGAAAATATTTTGGATAGTTATTTGGATTGTAATATTATACAATAAATAATGTGATTAATGATATAAATACACAATATTAATTTAATATATTAGATAGAAAAAAATAAAAGAAATGTGATTTTATAAATATATTAATACAAATACAATTAATATATATATATATAAATTTTAGAGGATAAAATTTACATAATATTAAAAAAAAATTATTTTTAAAAACCCATGTCCCAAATGAGCACACAATTGAATGATAAATGAAGTATCATCATCCTCTTATCACCGGCGATCACTATGATTTAGGAGACGAGTGCCTAAAATTTAATACTCCCTCAAAGGGGTTTTTAAGATTTTGTAGTAAATTAAAAAATAATCGTATTTTATTGATTAGTGGAAGTATGTAAGATATTTTGATATTTTTTCCATTTGACTTTACGTATATAGCAATTGTATGTAATAATATGTTTGTAATTTAAGTAAAACTTAGGAGTATTTTGATATTAGTGTATAATTACTTTTTAAAAAAAAAACGAAAATGATATTTTTGATTAAGACAGACGAAAATGATAAAAATTGTACTTTGAATTGTGACAAATAAAATATCTTATTGTTAGTTGCTTTTCGCATGACTTATCCTTTCGCTCTCTTTATTTTAAGCTGATTTTTTTTCCTACGAATTTGATGAAGTTGCTACGGTACTAGTTCTCTTGCTAAATACATATATTGACGAATTATATGAGCTATTCCACAATGTAATAATCGAACAAATTTAAACAACCTGCGTATAAATATCGAATTTGGGAATGCTAGTGAGATGGAAATTATTAATAATTTCATTTCCAAGTAAATAGAAATATGACTATATTAATCTATCTACAAAGTAGTAATGACCGAAATAAAACTTACGCCAAAAAGACGGAAAGTCGTGCGTAACTCAATTATTTCATGTATTGTCATTTTACATACATTAATACATATACAGTCAATCTTTGATTAAAAATTCAATTGTAAATTTAATCTAAATTATTTGAATTATCAGTTAGTAAGTGATCTTTTACATGTATTGGGTTTAAAATGTAGTTACTAAATGAAGGTTTTCTATATGCGAAAATCCGATAAATTATTCACCGAGGGATGAGACTAATTAAATATAAAGATAGTATATTAGGATTGTGATCCCAAACCCAATATTCATTACTTTCATATTTCAGGATGAATTGCGCCATAACTTTGAACAATACAACATTTAATCGATTCGTAAATTGAATACGACTATCCTGAAAACCTTATTAGATTTATATGCTTTATTTTTTTATTTCAATTATTTCACACTATAGATGTTGGACTAGAATTATATTATATTGTGAAAAATTTGGACCATTTTTACCGTTTATTGGATAGTGTGCTAAATTTTTAAGTTAGACATTATGTATACTTAAGGTGTGTTCGTCTGGACAATTTCTCTAAAATTCTATTATTCATTTAATTTTTTTTTAAAAAAATATCAAATCAAACACCTATTTTTTATTTTTTATATTATACTAAAAATTAATTTTATATTCAAAACATCAAATCAACACTTATTTATATCACATCATACAACTATTACAATTTAAAATTTTTACTATTTAAATCCCAACTCAAAATCTAAGGTATGTTATGATGTGATGTTTTGAATGTAAAATTAATTTTTAGTATAATATAAAAAATGAAAAATAGGTGTTTAATTTGATGTTTTTGAGAGAAAAAATTGAATGAATAGTGTAAATCCAATCCAATCCCCCAAACAATCACACCCTTAATGTATTTTCTTTATAATAAAAATTTGAAAAACAGGTAAAAACACCTTAACAATTTTTGATCTTCTTGTGGGTACCTTTGTGTGTGTTCTTGGTAATTTTGATTTTTCTCAATTTTCATAACAATTAAATACTTATTAGAGGAAATTGATTTTTTAATTTAGTAACTAAATTATTTTATCATTTTAGTCTCATAACTAAAAACTTTCTTAAAATAGTCCCGTAAGTAAAAAATTATCGAATATTTAATCCTCGTTATCTATATGGCACCTAGGTGGTATTCCGACAAATACATGTCAGCCTGATCAGCGCTGCACGGCGGACACATTTCCTACTTAATGTTTACCATTCCATAATTATATTCTCTAAAGTTTTTAAAGTACTACCATTTCAACAACACATAAAACTTACCTTCCCTCAGATTCTATGAGCTGAGAGAACACCTTACTCATCGAAACGTCCGACAGATCGCCGCCGTCGGCGGTGGGCCGTGCAACGAAATTGCTCGAGCCGCCGCTACCCAAATCGCCGATGCCGGGCGAGAGCCGGTCGATAAAGTTGGCGCTATTCTCTTCGGGATCATCGTGTAGCTCGACTTCGTGCAATTGAAGCGTGTACTCGAGGTTCCACAAGACGTCGCCCATCGATGGCCGATCGACACCGTATTCAGCCAAGCATTTCTCCGCCGTCTCGCCGTACTTCCGGAGGGAGTCGGGCTTCACCCTCCCGACGAGACTCGAATCGATGATCTTATCGAGTTCGCCCTTCTGATGCCACTTTAACGCCCATTCAGCCAAGTTCACCTTTTCCCGGGGAAGCGACGGGTCGATGACCGGTCGAGCGCATAGAACCTCAAACAAAACGACTCCGAATGAGTAAACGTCCGATTTCTCCGTAAGCTGTTGCCTCCGAAAGTACTCGGGATCGAGATATCCGAAGCTGCCCTTAACGGCCGTGCTAACGTGAGTTTGATCGATCTCCGGACCCGTCTTTGACAGCCCAAAATCGGCGACTTTCGACATGAGGTTCTCGTCCAACAATATGTTCGCCGACTTCACGTCGCGATGGATGACGGCTTTCGCGTAGCCAGTGTGTAGATAGTGTAGTCCGCGCGCCGCGCCGATGCATATTTCGAGTCTTTGTTTCCAACTCAAGCTCGGTCGATTCGATCCGTATAGATGGCTTTTGAGCGTCCCGTTTTCCATGTACTCGTATACTAAGATCATCTCGTTCTTGTCGTCGCAATATCCGATCAATGAGACTAAATGCCGGTGTCGGAATTGTGACAGCATCTCGATCTCGGTTCTAAACTCGGCGAGACCTTGTTGCGACTTCGGGTTGCCTCTCTTCACGGCTACCTTCGTCCCGTCGCTTAACGTCCCCATGTAAACCTTCCCGAAACCGCCGATCCCGATCACTCGAGTTTCGTCGAAGTTGTTCGTCGCTTCTTGCAGCGCCGCGAAAGGAATTCGGTAACTCAGGTTAGACCCGTCGCTACTGCTCGTCCCGATCGAATACTTGCTTCCGATCGTCTGCGACGCTCCGCCATTGATCGGTATGGGTACCCACGTCTTCGAATGAGTCGCTCGTTCTCGTTTCCGTCTTCGGTAGTACACGAGCGATAGAATTCCGAAGACGATCAAAGCAATCGGAATCCCAACGCTCAACCCGACGATCATTCCACGATTCGATTTTGATCCCGGGAACGTCGGCATGTTCGATGCCCCGGCCAAGCTGCCGTCGGAATTGTTCATCTTCATGATCTCCAATCCGTTGAGAATCGCGTCGGGGTAGCCACTCCTCGGAGACGGGCCGATGCTTAAAGTCAGATTCTCTCGATCCATCACCGGCGTAACGAAGTCCATAAAGTAAGCAGTCGATAAACGCCCGAAAGTTCTCGAACTCAACTCAAGATCGGCGGCGACGAGGATCGAACCGATGTATACGTCGAACAGAAGCTGATTAGCTGCCGTGCTCACGATATCGCAGAAATGCAACCGGACGAAGTACCGAAAGCCCCGATCGATTCTAAATCCCCACGAGACGTTGAAATTACTGTTCCGGTTGCTATCGGAGTTCATCTTCGTGCATGTTCCGTACACCGTTGGCGGAGCTGTATCCGCAGTCGCACCGCCGTCGGGATACCGAACAGCTGAAACCATCGACAGATTTGCCGCAGCATTCGGATTCAACAAGAACGAACCGTCGGATACCCAACTCCGTCCCAACGTATCATTCGCCAACGACACGAACGGCCCTCCCATATTCACCCGAGCAACGGTTTCGAAAGCCTGATTCATTAGTCCATCAAACGCCCCCGCTGGATCGTATAGCGACGCGTCGTCGGCGATAAGATTATCCGGAACAGAGACAACCTCCAAACCATTGACATAGGCGAACGAACCGCTTTCCGGCGAGAAGGTGATCGCGAGTTCTCCGGCGGAGATGTTCATCGAGTACTCCTTCATCGTCGGATTTCGAGAGACGAAACCGGTAAGCAGTGTAGTTTCCTGTGAGAAAACAGAGAAGCTAGCAGACTTCATGTCGTAATTCTGGTAAACAAATGGATAGAAATGGAGGCGGATCCAATGCCTCCCCGCCTGCCTAATTGGAAACGAATACTTAGCTGGTTCGTTGAAGATTCGAGCAGTCGTGAACAGAGGGAAATAATCATCAATCTGTGATACCGAATTCGAATTGGTGTTGGCCAGAATGTCCTGTGGAGTGGATAAGAATTTCGCCGCCGATTTATCGGCGACGAAGGTAATGTTCCCCACAATCGCATCGCTAGATGCTCCACAGTTGACGTAATAGAGATCTACAGGATCGAATCCTCTAGAACAATATGCCAGATTCAGTATCACCACAGAAAATCCCCAAATCTCACGGAACATCGCTATTCGCACAAATCAGGAACCAAACGGCGTCGTTTCAGCTCAAACGATAGCACAACAGCAGCACACAATTTGCACAACGCATCAATGGAGAATCAGAAATAAATATCACGGCAACTTTTGGATCGAATAAGCTCAAAATCGGGTAAAGCAATCGGAAATCCAGATTATCTCGAGCAGGAAAGTTCATCAAATCGTTGAATTAGTTGAATAAATTGACGGAAATGATGAAAAGGAGCTGAGCAGGAGCAACAAAAGCATATGTCAACTGCGGAAGAATCCAAACCTGGCATAACCGCTCCGAGTGTGAACTGATTCATCCAAAATCGAACCACAGTTTTCCGTTTTTCTCCAGAAAAACACGTAGCGGTTTCACATCTGGATTTTGTCGCTGTCCGATCCATTGGTGAGTAAAATATTCGGCGGAAAGCCACTCGAGTGGGGCTGCTCTCACATCACATGTATACATACATAGATATATATATATATATGTATTATGTGACTCTGCAACTGCAAGCCTCAAGCAACAGCCGCCATTGATGAATCACACTACAAAGAATGGGTTGGATTAGATTTCATAACGTTAATGTAGTAATTTAATGTATATTCAATTTTTATATTAGATAAATTGTTTGTTAAGTATTGTAGATGTTGTAATTACTAATGTCTATTTTATTAGTGTACGATCCCGTTTGAGAAATTTTCATTTGAATTTGATATTAAAATAATATTTGATGAAATATTTTGTAAAAGAAAAAAATATATTATTTTAAAAGAAAAATGCAAAGTTCAAATTGTAAAATTCGAGAAAATTGAAGTAAAGAAACATAAATCCTATCATATTCATATATATATATATATATTATTAGCCATTAATCATATATCCGTAAACGGGAGTCCTCAACTTGCCCCCTCACGGGCAAGTGGGGTCTGCAAAATTTGCAAATGCATAATGCTGAATGACCTTCTTACCTAAAAGCTCGAATTGTCAGATAAACGTAGTCATTAATCATATATCTGCAAACGGGAGTCTCCAACGGTAAGACTATTAATTATGTTTGGTACATAGTACAATTACTAAATAAGGAAATTGTATCATTGTTTTGGAACGAATAAAAATGAAAAATGATATCTTTGTTATGGGACGGAGGGAGTACTATATTTTCTACCATTTTCGATTGTCCACTCAAAAATATCAATTTTTTATTTTAATAAAAATAATAATATATTACTGCTAAAATATTCTTAATTTTTTCTTAAATTACAAATATTTCATTACACGTACAATTAATTCTAAAATGATACTCCCTCCTTCCCGGTCAAGATGACTCATTTGCTTAAGGATACGATATTTTAGGTAGTGTAAATCAGTAAGTTATTAATAATAAATTATGATATTATTTTATTATTTTTATATGAGTAGTGTTGTTGGCATTTTATATATTTTTAGCATTATATATCAATAAAATATATACAATATGGATATCATTTTATAGAGAATAAAATTTTATATAATACAAATAAATAAATAAAATTAATTAATTTATTTATAGTTAACTTAAAACTAATTTTATTAAAAATAAGAAGTTTTAAATAAAGATAAAAATAAAGAAGTTTTGAGTGAGTCCTACCTGTAAGAGTTTAGAAATTTGATTAAATTGATTTATATTTGTTAAATATGTTTAAGATAAATAAATTTACTAAAAATAGAAATGAATAGTCTTTAATAGAACGGATAAAAAAGGAAAATGGATCATCTGTCGCGGGACGGAGGGAGTACATTCAAAATGGACGAAAATAGTATAATATATATATATTTTTATTTAAAATAAGTTATTTTACAAAAATATGTTGAATGATCTATAACTTCGTAATAACAAGTTTATTTCGTACCATCGAATTATCTTTTACGGGACAATGTGTAATTTTTGTTCATATATAATTTGCTATGTGTCTATATATTAAGTGTTACTACATAATATTATGTTAATTCATGTATTGTATTATATTATGCTAAAATAAAATCGATATGACATGTTATAATTAAATTCAATCCAACCCAATTGAATATAGCACATTACATATATTCATACATTACAACTATGTATTTTTATTTAGTATTTTGTGTTATTTATATTTATATAGTATATTATTTATCTCTTTCACATTATACTATGGGCATTGTATTGAATTATTCTAAATCAACACCTTAAAATATGAAATACAATATTGTTATAAAAATAATTAAGAAAATAAAATAATGAAAAAATAGTTGATATTCATCCATCCTTATCCATTTATTAGACTAAATAATTGATCCACTTTTTTCAATGAAATCAAAATAGTGAAAATATTGCAAAGTGGTTGATTAATTGATGCATAAGTAACTTCTTAAAATGCACCAATTATTATTTAAATTAGGAAAACTTGTCAACAATATGTTGCCTATAATATCTATCTATCTATCTATCTATATATATATATATCCCTATAAATATAATGGAATTGGTAAAGGGATTATTATTATTATCATTATTATTATTATTCAGGATAATTACTTATAAGTTAATTTTACTTTATTATTTTAAATATATAAAATTATTTATAAGTTACTTGTGATTTGAAAAATTGGTACTCTATTTTTTTTTTATATTTAAAAATTGCACAAAATTTTGTTGTATTTTACAAAATATTGCACATAATATTTTAAAAATTGCATGATACTCACTTGTAAATTTGTTGAATATATCATATAAAATACCCAAAAACAGAGATTTTATGCAACGTTTCTAAAATATTAAAAAGTTTATACAATTTTTGAACGATAAGAGAGAATGATCCAAAATTTTCAAATAATAAATGGATCATAAATAATTTTGTCTTTTAAGTATTTTTAAAATAAAATATGATAGGATGTCAGGATTGTATATTTGTCTTTGCTCACGTGTGCACTCGAAAAATTTTCTTGAAGGTTACCCATTAAGAAATTAACTTAGAGTAAGTAGATTTAATTGAGCTCAAAAGAAAATGTATATAAATTTTAGGGTAAATTGAATAATATATTTTTGTAATTTATTAAAAATTTATAAAATATCTTGTGTCTTATTTATTTCATGAAATTTATTCGTGTTAAATTAAAATATGCACGAAATATCCCCTTGGTTCAAGTATGATGTTTAGTTATAAACAAGAACATAATTTTACAATTTTTATATAAATAAAAGAAATAAAGTATTTTAAAAAGCCTTATTTAAATATAAATAAATAAATAATAGATCAATGTTTTATTTTATAATGTTATGTAAAAATTAGCTAGTAGTTCCTCTCCAAAAATCAATCAAATGAATTATTGACAATTTATTTAGTTATTTATTTTATTCAAAATAATAATAATACTATTTTAGATATTTTATTATTTTTATTTATATTATAAAACTTGCATAATTAGGTGTGTGTTACAATCAAATATCAAATTTGGTCGGAGATGATCATTTGTGCATACTTTAATTCAACACAAAAAAATTCAACGCAATAAATAAAATACAAAATATTTTATTTATTTTTGTACTAAAATACAAAAGAGATATACCTTATATACCAAAAAAGAAAAATAGCCGAAAACACATAATAGAAGGATTATAAACAAAAAATTTTACTTTAAATTTTTAACCTTAAATTTTAAAAACAAAAATGTAGGCCCATGTATGAATAAGCTATATTTACTTTAATAAATTATTTTTTTTATTGTAAAATTTTGTTTTCTAAGAAAAAAATATTAATTTTTCATATAAATAAATATATTTAATTATTGCTTGATATGATATAAATATGTATGATTATAATTAAAATTTGATTTCGAAATGAATATTGATTCGATGAAAAATGAAAAGTATTGTCCTTTATAAGGGTGAGATACGCCGTCACTTATCACTAATTGATTTTAAAATAGAGTTTCGAATCATTTCCTAACAAACATAATATAAAAAAATAAATATTTTGATTTGAAATTTTTTATATAAAGAAAAACGATAGAAAATCTACAAATATATAATAAAATAAAATAAAAATGAAGGTAAATACACAATCAACTCAATAAGTATTAGTCCCTCCTCCTGTCATATTTAGTCCCTTTTGAGTCCGGTATTAAAATTAAAAAAAAAAAAAAAGTTAATATTTTATTTTTTTAAAAAAATATAAAAAGATAATTGATGATATTTTTAGAAATTTAATTAATAATTAAAGATAATAAAATAAAGATAATGACGTTTATTATTATAATACAAAATTCAAACTAAATTTCTTGCAAAACTAATCAAAAGAAACAAACTCAATTTGGATAAAAGAAAAGAAAAAAAAAAAATGAATGAAAGAAAATGAAATTTGCCTGATTTGTTACTGGGCTTTCGTGCTATAGGTTTAAAAAATGGTGTTCTTTTATTGAGCCTAACATTTTATGTCTGTGTAATTGTTATGAATTTATTTTTTATCGAACAAACTTCGTGTATATATATATATATATAAACATATGAAATATTAATATTAGCAGAAACGATTAAATCAAATAAAATCAATACCGAATCAAAATAAAAATAAAATCAAACCCAACCAAACCCGCCTCTGACTTGAATCAAACAATTAAAGCAATTGAAGAAATGAACTTGTCGTTCGTCTCTGATATTCAACCGCGACAAGAAACTGAAGCCACCGTCGACGACCTCGAACAGCTACGCACGGTGACAACGGCCATCAACTTCAGCGGCTCGCAGGCGGCTTGGCTTCACTTCACGGAACGTCCCGATTCTGGACAACTCCAGGCAGCTCCGATTTGTCAATTCTTTCTGCCTTTGCCTTCTTCACCGATCTTTGCAAACAACTTTTGTGTTGTAAATGAAATTAGAAGACGTAGGACAATCACTTACACACCCCCAACAAAATGGGGTTGCTGCGCGAATGAACCAAACTCTATTGGAAAAAGTTTGAAGCTTGTTAGTTTTTTCGGGTTTATCCAAATATTTTTGGGGTGAGGCTGTTAAAATAGCCTCCTACCTAATAAATAGGTCTTCTTCATTACCTTTTAAAAAGTGCTTGTCCCGAGTCTATTTGGAATGGTAGAAATGTCGATTTATCAAATTTAAGAGTATTTTGTTATTATGCATTTATACGTTTTTAATGATAAACTTGAACTTAAGGCAAAAATGTGTCCTTTTAGGATATCCCAAGGAGTAAAGGGATGTAGATTGTTGAGTAATCAATCTATATTTTGACTGTCTTATTAATTTATAGAGCAAAAATCAAAAGTAGTGTCATTTAATTTACTTTTGTTCCGTACAGATTGGGTTTCAGCATCCATACTGAATGCATTAATTCTTAATCATCTTAATTAACTTAATAATATAATTTAATAATATAAATTGTAACTATTATTTTGAAGGAATTATTAATTTAATAATATAAATTGTAACTATTATTTTGAAGGTATTCAGCAGCCTGATCCAAATCCACTTTTGTTACTTTTTGGTCCTATACAATAATAAATAAACAATCAAAATTAATTCTATTTAAATATTTTTCATTAATTTTAGTCATTTTCTTCACAATCCGACGAAGTATATTTGATGTATGGTTATAAATCAACCTACATTTGGAGAATTTCAATCCAAGAAAAATTCTACTAATCAGTGTTAGAGAACATAAAATAACCATAACTCTTTCAACTCAACCTCCTATCATGACCTACCTTGAAAATAAAGCAACTCAAAGCCTGATCATCTTCTTCAGTTGGAATTTGTTCAATTCCGATCTCCAACGAATTTTTGTGTTAAACGCTCATTCAAATTATAAAAAATCGAGATGGATACAGGGTGAGAGCATTATACAATATTTTTTTCTCTACAACTTACTCTCAAACTTGCAACCAACAGTAAGTTCAGTTGTGAATACAACCCTCAGTCTTGGTTTGTAAAAATTTTGCCGTAAGTTCCCTTACATTAAAATCGGGTGCAGTGAGTTTCCATAAATTTTATATATTTTGACTTGTCATAAACATCTATTTTGTTTCTTGTATACACTTTAGAAACGAGACAAATTGAATAGAGACAAACAATCTCCAAGTCTACTGCACGATTGCAGTAACCGTCTATCTGCAATAATTGTTTGCTGAAAATGGAATGTAGTTATTGCAGTATAAAGAAATAAATGACAATTCTCAATTTTGTGTGCCACACAGATATTTTTTATTGACAAAATTTTAATAAAATAAAATAAAATAAATTTTTTTATTATCTTTATATTATTTTTCAATACAATATTATTTAAATAAAAAATTAAAAGAAAAAAAAAATCAAAAACTGAACACCAAAAATAATCATCTCACCTGATTTTCATCTTGAAATTGAATAAATAAATCAAACAGTCAAAAGTCGTTTGTTATTACACGGCCACAAAATTTGACTTTGTCCAAAAGTAAAAAAGACTCTAAAACGAGTTGACTTAGCCATGCACGATCAATCGAAAGTCAGCGTCTACTTGCAAATAGACATGGCTAAAAAATGCGAGTAGTTTGGCTGCACTTTAATTTATTTCCATGGAATTACATAGTCCCCTTGTCTCGTATTCATTTGCTCTTTGCACAGAATTTTAAAAATATTAGTATTATATTATAATACAGTAGGAATAAAGTATAAATGACTAAAATGACCTTATTAGTATTATGTGATATAAATGTAATGATATTTGTGTAATATATTTGAAGTTGTAAGGGTATTTATAATATTAGGTAGATAGTGTATTTACTAAAAACGAAAATAAATCTTTTGTTATAGGACATACCTAAATAGAAAAATGAATACTTGATTATGAGACGAAGGGAGTAAAAAATATTTGTTATAAATAATAATAATAATTGAGGAGCAAATGTTTTGTTTCCAACATGAGGTAAGTAGGGAACATATTTGATGTTGATTAAATATTTTGTATGCCCTTTAAATTATAGATCAACTTGAAATCATCATGATTCATTATCTATTTTTTTCAATTTTTTTTTTTTTTTTTTTTTTTTTTTTTTTTTCTTCTGACTCATTTTAAAGAGGTCTTTCAAGATTTTGAAATAATTGTACGTGTAACGGTATGTTTGTAATTTAAATAAAAAATAATTATATTTTAATATTAATATATAATTATTTTTACTAAAAAGAGAAATAGATACTCGTGAGCAGAAGAGATAAAAATGGTAAAAAAATATTATGTAACAGTATATTATTAATTTAAATAAAAATTAATGATATTTTAATATTAATATATAATTATTTTTACTAAAAAAAAAGAAATAGATACTTGTGAGCAGAGGAGATAAAGATGGTAAAAAATATTGAGTTGATAATATACTTCAAATCAATTTCACATCAAAATATTATTTAATCGAAAATTCAAATTAAACATTATACTTCAAATCAATTTCAAATCACAATCAAATAATTCCACTATAACAAACAAAAAAAAATTAATAATATTGTTATTAGATTGAATGCACTCGAAAAATAGCAATTTTTTAAAAAAGTATTAGTAATATTAATTAAACAATATGAAAATTCCACGACCAATTAAATACAACCCATAAATTTTACAATAAAACAATGACTTATTATTAATTAGAGTCAACAAAAAAAAAAAAAAAAAAAAACATTCATACATATATATATATATATTTGTCTTCTAACAATTTGGTTAGGCAGCCATGACTGAATCTCACTTCTTCTTCTTCCTCCTCATCCTCCTCTGCAACATTCTATCCTTTAGCACATCCGATGATGGTAATAATCCAACAACCTTCAATCAAAATTTTCTCTCCATACCCACATTTAATCTTAATTTCTTCGTATTCTTGATGCAGTTTTTGTCAGCATCGACTGCGGCGCGTCGAATTCTTACACGGACGACAACCTCATAAATTGGTTGGGAGATGAAGCGTATATCGACACCGGAGAAGTCGCCGCCGTCAAATCGAATAGTTCGGTGTCGCGACCTTTGGACACTCTCCGAGTTTTCGACACTCGTAAAAAAAATTGTTACCACATCGACTCGATTAGGCCGGGTCGGGTTCTTGTTCGGGCCAGCTTTAATTATGGTAATTATGACGGGAAGTCGTCGCCCCCGACTTTCGACCTTCTCCTCGACGGGAACCGTTGGGGGACGGTCGAGACGTCGAGTAGCGACTACGTTTATTACGAAGTGATTTATGTAATGAAAAAGGATTCGATCGTCGTTTGTGTTGCGCAAACGACGGAGGGACATTTGCCGTTCATTTCGGCGCTCGAGGTCCGAGGACTCGAGGCGAATATGTATTCTTACATCGATGATATTTATCCGTTGTTTCTTATGCGACGCGCAGCTTACGGCGCAAAATCGACGATTCGGTACGGCTTTTTTTTCGATTTTTTGTTAGCTTCTTACATTCTCTTGATTCGATTTTTTTTTTTACATTAATTTTTATATTTCATCAGTGTCAACTGAAAATAGTAGTTTTCATTACTTTTATCTATTCGTTTTATTTAAAAATATCATTTTTCTATTACAGTAAAATAATTATACATTAATATTAAAATATTCTTGTAATTTTCACGTGATTACAAGTGTATAATTACTTTTTACTTAAAATAAAATAAAAAAAAAGTTTGTCAAAAGCTATCTTATACATATTTATTCATCAATAAAGTCCTATATTATTTTTTAAGTTTACAATAAAAATTCAAAAAAAAAAAAAAACTAGTACTTTGGATTAAAACAGGAGTATTTTTTTTTATTTTATTTAAAAATTAATCGAAAAAGGATCAAATAAATAGATCCCTTATTTATTTTTTTAATTTTTTTTTTCTAATTTTTGAGTTGACTAGTTGACTATGAAGACATGTTTATTTATTTATTATTTTTTTTAATGACATAGAGGCATGTTATTTGTAAGGACGTGTGGAGTCGTGTGTTTTTCTGAAGATGTTTAGACTAAGTCATGCCTATATATAATATATATAGTGTGCATTTTAATTTTGATATCTATTCGCAAGCTGTCTTGTGGAATTTTCTTTTATTTGACTAAAGATTTTAAATTAAAAGAATTCAATTGCTTTCTATTTCAAATATTTTATTCGATTTTGTGTTTGAGATTAATTTTTTTTTATCTGAATTATAGTTCAAGAATATTGATCCAATTAGCATAAATATACAAAACAGATAATACATAAATAACTATCCATATAATATAATATATAATACTCCCCCTATCCCGTGTTGCAAGGTTGTCATTTACTTTTTTTACGTAGAATTTCAATATTAGTATTATAATGAGTTGTAGTAAAAAAGACAAAAATGTCTCTATTAGTATTATGTCATATAAAAGTAATGACATTTGTGTAAGATAGTGTAAGTTGGAAGGGTATTTATTATGTTAGGTAGGTAGTATAATTACTAAATTAAAAAATTGTAACCTTGTTTTGAGACGGACGAAAATGAAAAATGACAACATTTCAATAAGACGAAGGGAATATATATTTTGACGTCATATGATAATACAACAACATTATTGATTTTCAGTACAATAAGTATATGTATAGAAAACAACACAATATATAAACGGCATATGTTTCTATATGTTATATGTCTATGCTTATTGTCAAAATTAGTGCGCTAACTTGATCAAATCACCAAATAAGCACCATAACTGTCGCATTGATACAATATTTTGTAAAAATAATTGAACTTGAAGACAAAAATAAACAAATATGTGTAAAGTATATTAGCTCGTTTTCTTCGAAAAAATGCGGGCACCGGCGCAAAATTGCTTAGCGTTGTTTGTGAGTGAACTCTTTATTAATCTTCGCCAGAAAAAATGTCCCAAAGTTTCAAATTTTTGCTTGGGAATGAGCCAAGGCCCGAGCAATTTTTCGCTAAAATTTTAGGGATAGTCGAAGATTTTATTAAAATACAGCAAAATTATACTTACATGTATTTTCAAAATTTTATGCAATTCTCTGGTGATGCATAAATTGTACAAGATTTTCTTATATTTTAGCAACGTTGCATTGAATCATTTTCTAGAATGTTATGTACAATATCTAAAAAAAAAAGCAAAAAAAAAAAAAAAAAAAGAAGTTTTACATTATTTACGAGGATTCTGATTCTGACGTGTGAGAAAATCTCATACAATTTTTAAATTATAAAGAATACTATTCAAACTTTTGAAATTAGTGAATTATAAGTAATTTTTCCTTGCGTATCAAATGATTCAAACCATCCATTTCATACTTTTTTTTTTTTTTTTTTTCTGTAAATTTTACTTATCACGCTTGACTTTTAGCGATCAAACAGATCGAAGATCTAACGGATGAATTTTTAGGTTCACGAGCGATCCATACGACCGAATATGGACTCCATTTTCCGCCGGCGAAGGCCTCACGACGGTGTCGAGCAATATATCCTTCACCGGAATTTCAGGAATCGCCGACAACCCTCCTCCGGCGGTGCTCCAAAACGCCATCACCGCCACCAATCGATCGACGACCATCCGATTGTTCCTCCCATTGCCTAGCGCACAAATTCCGGTCTACATAAACTTCTACTTCTCCGAGGTTTCTCGACTTTCCCCAAACGACACTCGATCCTTCCGAATCTTTAAGGACAACATTTCCTTCTCGCAACCGATCGTACCTATTTACGAAAATTTCACCAAGTTGTACGTAAGCAACCTCCTCGTCTCTTCGAACACTACTTTTTATCTCGTCCCTAGCAATGACTCGACGCTCGCCCCTCTCATTAATGGCTTGGAGCTTTTCTTGGTCGGGCCCGAGCTTTCGTCGGGAACTAATACAAGAGACGGTGAGCTCATTTTTCCGCACTTCTCGACTCTTTTTTGCGCTAATAATCGACACATTATTTCTATTCGGATTCTTATTTGCTATTGATGGGAATTTTGTATCGGTAATTCAGTTGGAGGCCTCGCGTCGCTTCAAAAAGCGTTCGCCATTCTACAAGGTTGGAGAGGCGATCCGTGTCTTCCGGCGCCGTATTCGTGGGATTGGATCAACTGTAGCTCCGGCTCCACGCCCCGTGTTAAGGCGCTGTAAGAATACTAAATACTGTCTCTGTTCGTTAAATTTTTTTTTTATACAAAATTTTTACTTTTATTCATTGATCATTTTTATTTGAGCATGCTTTCTCTATCTTACCGCAAATGGTAAAATTATCAATTCATAACAAAAAAAAAAAAATTATTTACCTAAAAAATTATGCAAATATAATTTAAGATAATAAAATTTGGTCGGAGGGAGTATTTTCCTTTTTCTTAGTATACATGCACAGTAATTTTAGCATAATTTAATAGGGAGTATATATATTACCTGATATTCTTTTATACTTATTCCATCCCACATAAAATATATATTTTTTTATTTCTGTCAATCCCTAGTAATTTTATTTTTTTGAAAAATAATTATAAATTTATACTTTTCTTAATCTTAATTAAATTATTTATTATCTTAATCTTAATATATAATTATTTGCATTATGCAATAATTATTTTTACTAATACACTTCTTAGTTACTTCCTCCGTCGGCCTCTAACGTTCACAATTAACTTTTGTGTCGTTGTAATTAACATTAAAAATATCCTTATATTTGTATAAATTTTTGTATAAATGTCATTCTATTAGTATTATAAGAGACTAATGAAAGTATTTTTGCAATTTTTTCTTAATTTTTACTATGTTTTGATATAATAATCAATATTCAAATATCAACACTTAAAAAGTAAATGAAACCATTAGAACCGGACGGGATAGTATTTACTAATTATATATTTCTAAATTTTCGTATCTATAATATGGACAATTTTAGTGGGACCGAGGGAGTATGTCTTATCACGGATCCTTCTATTATTAGTTATTTTTGTTTTATCCCGTTTGTTCGACTACTTTTCTCGAAAGTTTTTCGAGAATCGCTGACGGGGAAAATCGATCGAATCCGCAGGTTTTTGGACAGATTTGGTCTTTCAGGAGAGCTTCCAGATTTGAGCTCAATGGATGCTCTTGAGACAATGTTAGAAACTTCATATACATTAATTGTTAATAATTTGAAGACGGCGGACAAATATTGTCCTATAAAAGTCATTTTAGCGCAGAAGATATCGTATCAACTGCTTTTTGCGCCATAATATTAAACGCGCCAAAATGACTTTTATAAGGTAATTTTCCGAATCATTTAATTTAATTTTATTAATTTTAATTTGTTGGCTTTTTTCAGAGACCTTCAAAACAACAATATAAATGGACCTATCCCAGATTCCCTTGGCAATTTGGCAAACCTCAAGGAACTGTGAGTATGCAAAAACATGACCTTTGTGTTCTTTTGGAGTTTGATTTAAATTTTGATTTGATTTTTATTTTATGGTAAGCTGTTTTTTTTCCCGTAACTGGACCTCTTATCATTTTAGTCTTATAAGTGGAGCCTATCGCAAACTAGTCCCATAAGTGCAAAATTTTTGTTGTTTTAGTCCTCCGGCACCGAAGACGCCCGCGTGGCTCGCGGGAAGCCACGTGTCCGCCAGGTGTTCCGTCAGGTGAGCGACATCGGGCAGACACGTGAATTTTTTTTTTTTTCATTTTTTTAATTTTTTTTTGATTTTTTAACTTTTTAAATTGGACCAAATAAATAAAATTAAAAATAATTTTTTAAAAAAAAATCAAAAAAAAAATAAAATCTATGTGTCCGCCAAGTGTCGCTGATCTGGCGGACACGTGGCCTCCGGCGAGCCACGCGGACATCTCCGGCACCGAAAGACTAAAACAACAAAACTTTTTTACTTATGAGACTAGTTTGAGACATAAAATAATAAGGATCCAATTAAAAGAATAAAAAAACAATTTACCCTTTATTTTAATAGCGGTTTGAATGTGTTGTTTGTGGGATAAAACAATTCATTTTTATAAGAAGTCGTGATAATTGCTTTGTAAAAGAGCTAAAATAAAAGACTCTGAAAGAACGAAATCAATTCTTTGCAAATTCACTTTTATCATTTTAGTCTTCTTTTTATTATTATTTTTAATATGGAAATTATCTTATATATCTTAGATTTTTTCCTTTTTTTTTTTTTTTTTGTATATATAAGATGTGATTATATAATATTTATGTATTAATTAATAGAAAGTTTATTATATAATTTTATCCTATGAAGCATGCATAGTAAATGACTAAAATGTATCCTTAGTTGATACTTTATACTCTGATTATATATCCTTTTAATTCACTTTTTAAATTATTTATTAATAATATATTGTTTTTAAATTATCAAATAATTAAATTTTATTTTAAAAAATATTACATCGAAAATCTATTATTATTATTATTTTTATATACAAAACACTATATTCAACGCACATCACATCACATACTAATTTTTATTCTAACTTTTTATTATTTTCAAAATTATTCGAAATTCTAATATATTATCTACACAATCCATATTTTAGTTGTGAATAAAAAAAATTTAGCCGTGTGCATACACGTAACCTGAGTGTCATGTGTAAACACTACAAAAAAGTATCTAATTAGCTACAATATTATTAACTACGAAATATTTTTGTAGTTGAAACATATAATTTAGCAACAAAAATTACTTTCATTGCTAAAATAAATTATGTATTACAAAATTAATTTCGTCGTTAAGATTTTTTTGCTAGAAAATTCTATCTTTATGGGAAAAATGTTTTAGCTACAAAATTATTTTTATAGCTAAAATTATTTGGTTAAAAAAATCATATATATTTTGTTGCTAAAAAATTTTAATTTTATAGCAAAAGAGCTTTAGCTATGAAATCATATTTTCGTAGTTATATCTCTTTTCTTAATTTTCATTGTAAAAAACTTACTTTTTTTTACAAAAGTCATATTTGTCGCAAAAGACCTTTACTAACGTGGTATAGCCGATGAAATGAGTTTCGTCGCAAAAATATTTTTACTATGAGGTATTACCTTTTAACTTTTTTGTAGTGAAATTTTCTATTACTACACTATTTTTTGTTATATTAATAATAATAATATTTTTATTTTTATCTTTGTTTTCAATGTCATACAATTACGCTTTGCGCGCAGGAATTTGGCTAATAACAATTTGAGCGGAACAGTGCCGACTTCGCTCTCGCAAAAAAAAGGATTAAATTTAAAGTAAGAAAATTGGAGAATGTACATATTTCTTTTCGTAGGCTACATTTTTGTAGCTCGATATGGATAATAAAGTATTTGAATTGTTGGTGTGCCAATGTTGCAGCGTGACGGGAAATCCTAACCTATGCTCGTCTCGCGACGCATCGTGTCTTTCTTCTGATTCATCTAAGAAACCAAAATCTTCGGGTACCAAAAACGAGAATAAGATTTCAACGGAAGTACTACTCGCCGTCACAATTGCTTCGCTCGTTATCATGGGGATGGCTATTTGAACCGGACAACACATTACGTACATTAGAATGGATAATATTATTTTGATTTTTATACGATATGTGACAAGTGTATTTATTTGGTAATTTTTCTTTTTGTTTTTATTTTTAAAAATTTTTTTTTTTTGGATTCTATTCTTTATGTATTCATTTATTTTATAACCATACAGTCCTTGTACTTTCGGAATTTAAAAAAATAAATAAATAAATTGCATATCGAATCAGACACATTACTACTTAATCAACTATGATAATTTTATTTTATTTTATTGGATGTGTAATCTTGTTTAAATTTTCGACGCCTCAGGTCGCCTATTATAGACATGGTTCGCCTAGTGTGATTTACCTGTCGGGTCTAGTTTGTAAGGTATTAGATTCGACCAAAAATTTACTCAGTGCGCACTTTTGAAGAGTTGTCCTTACAAGTTGTCCTTACAAGATGATTTGACGGTGGTGTGGGAAGTGTACTTTTAGCATTTGTATTATATTTTTTTTAATTCCTTAAATTTATATTATTATTATATTTGAAAAATATAATATTTAATTATTATCGTAAATTCTATATTTATTTATAATAAATATTATTAATTTTACATTCTATTTTTATTTTCTTTAATTACTAATTAAATTTTTTAAAATACTCCAAATGTATATTTTTTTAATTTCTGTATGACAGGTGGAGTATCATATAATCTTGTATTAATATCAATTATAGGCGTCAGCATTTGTATTCATTTGTGGGGTTTTTTTTTAATTTTACTATTTTAATTTTTTTTATAAAAAATATCAAATCAAATAGGAGTATTTTTTATTATTATATTACACTTAAATTTAATTTTATATTAAAAAATCACATCAATTATAATATAAACTCAATCAAAAATATTTAATACGACATTTTGACATTTTGCATAAAATTTTATTTTTTAAAAATAATAAAATGATTGAAACATAAGTTTTTAATCCAATAGTTTTTTTTAAAAAAAATAAATATACAGTATCATTTTTTTTTAATAGTGATGATCATTTGAGTTACATGAGCTGAAGGTGCAAAAATTTCCTCCAATAACACATTTCTCTCCTAATTTGTTCACCATCAATTCAATTTTTTCCTACTTTGCTCACTACTCAACAAATCCATTAAAATGTACTCATCAAGTTCTTCTTAGAAAGTGTATAAACTGTCTAAAATAGCAGGTGTTTTTCGACGACGACTGAGTATATATAGACCACAGAACATGGTATATAAACCACGGCCGGAGCAAATTGATAAGACTATATTTCACCGACTAATTCGACAGTTAAAGAGTATACCTGAGAGAACTGAATTCACAAAGTCAAGTTTGCGAGCTGCTTCCCAACACCAAGTTCTTCAATGACGGCATTAAACTCTCCAGGAGTTCCCTCTTTGTCATAATTCTGTCCGATGAACAATCTTCTTCCTGTAGAAATCGCGGGAGTACAACCTCATACTTTATTACACTAGACAGATAAATTGATGAGAAAAGAATTTGTGATATAACTCACTTCGCCGGTTCCTGCAGATATTAGAGCTAGAAGGGTCACGGTTGCACTTTGGTAATCTGATAAAGCCTTGAATGCCAAATCGTCGAGTTTGCCCTGTAAATAAATTCATGTGATTTGAGTTACCAGAGATTGTTCCGGGAGAAGATACTGTGCAACTGCTGAGGAAATTTCGAATACAGAAACTAAATTACATCTACTACAAATGTTACTTCCATATGTTTTTGTACACTGAGAAATGCATTTTAACCGTGCAATTTATTTGTATTTGTTTAGGGGTTTGGATTTTGGATTGGGATTTGAATAGTAAAAAATTTGAATATAAATAGTTGTATGATGTGATATAAATAGGTGTTAATGTGATGTTTTGAATGTAAAATTGATTTTTAGTATAATATAAAAAATGAAAACTAAGTGTTTGATTTGATGTTTTTGGACCAAAAAATTGAATGAATAGTAAAGTTTGGAAAAAATCCCCCAAACAAACACACCCTACTTTTGATGGCGTTACGAGTAGTAGGAGATTCAGGTGAGGCCGAGGGTAATTATAACAATAGTGTATATGAGGAACTCTTGCACAAAACGGTAAATATATAAATTAAAACATATACCTTCAGTTTAGAAATGGCGACTGAAATGGCCCTGCCAGGCGCTTGAAGAGCTTTTCCATGCACCTTCAAGTGGAACAAATTCAGGAGACGAAACAAAAAGATTTAAATTGGTGTCCGTTGATGGATTTATAATTTCATTATACAAGAACAAGGCAAACCTGCACATATAGTAATGAGACGACTTTTGGGAGAAGTGCGACAGGATCGGTTTCAGCAGAAACTTGAGATGTCAGATCCTGGAATTGCGACAAATACAAACAAAGTTAACTAAACTAGAAGAAGAATTGTTAAGAGGGAACAATTATGGTTGATTTAAATTATTTGTCTTGTCTATTTCCCCTTAATAATAAGAAATAAATCATAAGCATGTGTGTGGCTGTGTGTGTGTAAGTGATTCAGTCGTTCACAGAAAAATTTACTAGACATGTACCTTGCGATATGAATGCAGTAATGTCCTCTCCAATTTCTTATCAAGTTTTCTGAATATTAACCCGCTGTAGAAATGCATGAAGGAAAACTTAAGGTTTGACTCATATATATAGATTATTAGATGATAAACTCAACTTCCGTACCTTTCCTCCATTAAGTCTCTAACTGCATTCATAAATAACTCCACCCGCTGCAATTCCAAAAATTATCAAAATAAATCTTTTAAACTTAGCTAGTAAACAAGAAATCTACGAGGATCAGATTTATTGGAAGGATCATATTATGACATTACACTGACCTTCCCTTCCAAAGCTTCAACTAAAACAACAGCTTTTGTTGACAAAGATCTAGGTAACCCCTTCGCCTGAGAGCATAATACAGACAATTAGCATTTGAAGTATTGAAAGGAAGGAGAAAATGCAGAATACGTTGAAAGATTCACCAAGGATATTCTATCTGCAGAGATCAATGATGCTGTGTCAGGATCTTGCGATTCCTCAAATTGAATTCCATTCCCAAGTTTGTTGTGCATATCCTGTATATGGAATTTGGAACATGAAATTTAGATTGAGTAATATTAAAAAACTAAATGGTGGCGAATCAGCATAGTTACCAGGTTAATTAAGAGCATATCCACAATTGGAGTGGCAGCAGTTCGTAGCAAATGTTTGTGTAGGAGAACCTATTGTCAAAGCAGGCGCTGTCTCGTTAATTTTTTATTCAATAGCGCAACTATAATTAAAACATAGCAAAAGAACATACTCCGGTTTGATGGTCATCATCAAACAAATCAAGTGCCTTCTCATAGAGTTGAATATTTAATAATGCCTGGAAAGAAGATGCAATTGATTAAAAATCAACTTGCACAGTGAAGTTACTTGGAAGAAAATAAATTTCAGTAGAAAAAAAATAAAACGAACAAAACTTTGAACAACTAAGAGATGAAAAGAGCAAAGACATTTCAAAAGATCCGTGAAAAAAAATAGGCATGACATGGTAAATACAAAGGTCTAAATCCTGCCAACCATATTAAGGGATGAACAACCTCTTCCTCCTCTTCGTCATGCTTCAAGGTTAAGTAAAAATAGAATACCATGTCGCTAAGGATTTGAATAAGCATTCTAAACCAGATGCCATTACCTCATCAAGTTTTCGTTGCAAATTATCAAGCACCCGTTTCATTTTCTGAGCATTCTCTGTAAAGGCAGCCTTTTTCTTTTCCATCCATGCATGTAGGAGCTTGGGTCTCAAATGGTTTGCCAGAGGTGTAAGAACAGTCTCAGGATCATCCATGCCTAAAGAACACATGAATTTCCTAAAGACAGCATAAAAGAAGTGGATCTGAAACGAGCCAAGACATGGAAGAAGAAACACCATACCTTGCTCTTCCAAATCTGGGATCAGTGACATTATTTTCTGAACTATCGATTCTTCTGATAAAAAACTAGGTTCATCCATCCTCTCTGTATCTTTCTTAGCACCTGACTTTGAATCAGAAATCTGTGCACCGGAAGTAACCTTCCCCCTTTTCTGTTTTTTCTTAGATTTAGTAGTTGTTGATTCTTGCATCTCTGGAACACTTTCTTCACCCCCGACTTTAGAACTTCCAGTAGCTTTTCCTTTCTTTTTCTTAGATCCTTTCTCTGAAGCTGATTTACTGCTGACACTTAGATTATCATGTTCATCAGGGTCAGCTATATTGCTGCTACCATCACGTCCATGGCTATCTTTGCTGAGGTGTGAAAAATCTGACAGCCCAGTGGATCCAGAAAGATTTAAGTTTTCCAGCTCTTTTTCAATACTATCAAACAAATTCTGCCATACATTACAAAAAGAAGTAAATTCATATGCACCCATGAAGTTCCGACAGTATGCCTTGATGCAAAATTTTATGTGTCTATTCTACATTTCATGCATCATTAAGCATTGTTTAATATGTGATTGGATAAATCTTGCTATCTGATCAAAACCACTTAATGGGACAAAAGTCCAGCATGTCAGGTAGTGCTATGCCACAAAAGAAGGATCAGTCAATAACAACAATCGAGTACAGAATGAACTTCCTCAGAGTTGGGTTTGTCTGCATTCCACCAAGAGAGATGTTACTAGCTGTTTCATAAGTCATGCTTCCCCCACGAAACACAGAATGGGACCATTAAGCTGCAAATGGGACATCTGAACTACAATTGTTCAGATCCATGCCATTAAACTGCAAAACAGGATATCCGAACTACAATAGTACAGCTCTATTTCCTTCTGCAGCTCAAAAGGGGCTCAAATTGCGAATCTCTAATGCCGATCACAATATCAAGAGATAAGGAAATCTGGGGTTGGGGGGCAAATCATATGAGGGTACAGGCAATTGAGGAGCTCTTGGCCAAGGCCGCTGAACTGCTCTCAACAATGTTTGCTTGGCTCCTTGCTAGTCAGAAGGATATTACTTATCCACGGGCAAATATACATATGTGAAGGAGAAAAGATATAATATTTTCCTAGAATGCCATTACAAAAGGCAATACTTAATCAAAATAAAAGGAGATATGACGAACTCTGAACATCTTTCACCAGCATAACCAAATTAGAGGTCATAGGTAGACTACATTGGGGCATCCTATCTTATATGTCTAAATCAAAATATGAATTTTGAAACACATTCCAGCCCCATGCCATGCGAAACACTAAAACAAAATAGCATCTGGCTCTGATTAAAAAAAAAAAAAAAAAGCATCTGTCTAATAGAAACATTAGATTGCACATTACTCACTGTGTAAGGATAAGTCAACCTAAAGAGAAATGAAGTTGTGCCAGCAGTAGCAAACTCAGGAGAAAAAAGTTCATTCATGTGTAGCAACAATACAAAAATTATACAAAGCAAGAATAGGTGTTCTTTTCCATTTAAAACTATCAGATAACAGTGAAGATTCTTTAATTTTATCCACTCAGAATTTACAACTATGCAAAGTCAAACTTCACATCATTCATTAGAAATATTCCAGAGAGATTTAAGATATTACCTTCACAATTATGTCACTAAAAATGTAGGATTCCCCCAGAAGATGAGCTCTATGAGACTGCACAAAACATAGAAAGTTGACAGAAAAACACTGAGAAAATTATCCAAGGGAATAAAGAGTAGAGTGAATCACCTTTAGAGCTTTCTGAACAGATGAACAAAGTGAAAGAATCTTAAATGCATCTTGGGATGTAAAAGATGGTGGTAAAATTGTAAGAGAATCTATCCTGCATTGAGAAAAATAAAAAACATATGATAAAGCCTACCTGAAATACATACAAAAATGAAAACAAGATGTATCAGAAATGGAGAAATGATAATCTAATGGAGAAAGCTTTTAGGTAAGTTGGTCATATAATATAGTAATAGTAGGGTGGGGAGCCCCCTTGTCTGAATCCCACTGTCACACAGTAATGCAACCACATCACATGCTAAGGTCTTTTGGATAGGTATGCTGGAAATATTATTAAGTGCAACATGATGTATCTCCTAATTGTGCGGGTCATTTAACAATAATTATGTCTTGAATCTATCCCGTTTGAATCTATTATAATTGAATTTTTCCCCATGTTATATTAACCATATTATGGCTATAAATAATACTCAACTTCTGTACGGTGTTTGGTTGTGTTTTCGCTATGCATCTAGAGTTACCTGTTTTCTCCCCTAGAAAATATCACGTCATACATTTTCTTTCATTTAATATATTACATATAAATTATATTTTAATTCAAAACATCACTTCAAACAAATTTTAATTTCCAAAGTTTTACTATTCACAAAAGACAACAAAGCACAACGAAACCAACTCTAAAATTCCTCATCTAATGATTGTGATGATATACCAGCACAATTTCCATGGTTCATAAGAGTTCAACTAGTTTATATTTCAACATTTTATTAACGATTCACGGTCCTAACTCTACTAGTTTCAATGTAAACCATCAACATAGAAAAATATGCTGCCATTAATCCAGAGCATCCAAGGAAGGGTATGAAATGTTCACGATTCACAGTTCTATTGCAGTGTGCGTAATACAGGAAAGCCAAAACACAATAATAATAAGAAATCAACAATTACCTTATCCTACTAACAAATGAAATTCCAACCAAGTGAAAGATAATGTAGCACAATATTGAGCCTTATGCATTCAATATAATACTGCAGTTTCAATTGAGAAAGCAATAGTTGAGTGTAAGGTAATTCAAAACATGGGTTACTTTCAACCTGACTTCAGAAACTCAAGAGATACACAAATTTAATACAACCTCTATCATCCAAATTTATGTTCACTTTTCTTTTTGGGTAGTCATCACAAAATATTCTTTTTTTGTTTTTTAGTGAAAAATAATATATTACTTTGTTTAAATTTTTACTATAAAAGACAAATACCAACAATTATTTCTTCGAGACAGATATTTTTTTATGGCACAGCTTGGGTGCAAATGTGATTTAGCTCAAACAAGGATAACAACTAGAAGAAGATATTCACAAAATGCAAATATACATTTGAGACTCACCAACTACCACGTTCAATAGCATCCTCTATGGAAGCATCCAACATCTCAATCAGTGAACCATGAACAAAGACATTGGCAAGTGGTTTCCCTTCTGGATATCTAGACTACATCAGTTATTCATAATCAGATAATAGTTATATAATAACCAACAGATGTAGCTATATTCCTAGTGAATTGAATTAAATTAATTTTATTGAGAGAAGTTTTAAGGAAAAAAAGAAAGAATGAAAGGAATTTAAAAAATATAATGATACCTGCAAAAACTGACTGGGTTGTGGGATTCCAAGCTTGTGTAGAGTTTCATAACTTATGTAGGAATTCTAAAGCATAGAAGAAAGTAAAAGTGAATAACTCGGTAGTCCAGTCTTATTTTTCAACTGTAGACAAGTAATAACCATAAGAATATGATTTCAGAAATAAGGAGATGTTATCATTCAAAAATCTAAATTGCTGGTCTCAATTTTTTAAAGAGTGCCAAACTTTAGGCATTTGTTGAACTCTGATTATGAATAGGTTTGGAATACAAGCCTACTGACCCATAAGTGAGACATTCCAATGCAAGTTCTATTTCGATATTTTCCAAACAAACTGACAAAAGATTGGTATAAATAAAGTCTTCTACCAAATACTCACAGTATAATAACAAAATCCTAATTATATATTTGCTGTTACTGGAAAGAAAAGGTATTGTTTTCTATCAAACTCCAACATATAGTTTCTCACGACAAAAATAAACCACAAGCTAAAACTCCATAGACACTAATTCTTACAAAACTGAAACATCAGTTGCTAAAACATACCTAGAAACCAACTCTAGGAGTTAGAGCTTATGGGATGAATCTTTCAATATCTTAATTAAGATACTTTTGTATTTATTTTATTCATTTATCTTTAATAATAAAGGGTGTAATAAGCAGATGAAAACATAAATAAACAATTGATTATTTTCCAATCATTAGTTGTTAAAGCAGCTTCGTGAATAACACAAACTTTACATATTTCTTGTGCACATTGACTCAACCATCAACACAAAAATATAAATAAATAAAGAAAATAATATTTTAAAGTTGATGTGAATCATAAACTTTTATTTTTATTATTTCAAGAATTCACATAATATTCTGGCGAATGTGAAGAGTTTCTGGGAAGAGCGAAAAATCCTATTATTACTATGCAAATAGCAAAGTTGAAAACAGAAAGAAAGTAAGTGTTATACCCAATAGTTGCTACTTTCATTATTATCATATAAATAAATAAAACCCGTGATAAAAATAACAGCAATTAGAATAGCTAATTTGTTAGACAAAGAATTGACCTTATACAACAAGATAATTTATGCACCTGTGAAAAGAAGGAATCGACACATTCCTTTTGAGCCAAGGCAAATACCTGTCAAACAACACAAGCCACAAGCTAGAAAATGTAAAGATACATGTCAATAAACAACTAGAAAATAATCAAGAATAATACATGTAAGGGCATCATATGACCTATACCTGTAATGGTAAATACTAATAATGTCAACAAAACGAGTAAGGCTTCCATAATGGCCAGTAAACATAAGCATATTCACAAACGACAAAAATTAAAATTTCATGTCAACAGCCTTAATAACAACGAAAACTCCACATCACACTGCTTGCACGAGCATAGGTTTCAAAAACAAAACATAATCAATACTCAAAAGTGAAAAGTATGATAAGAAATTTCATCTCACATACAGAAGGTGTCCAGTGTACGCCAGCTCGGAGAGAGCCAAGAATCTCGCCTTCCTTCACAACCCCATTAAACAATGACTGAAAGAAAGAACTTTCAACTGCCACGCCACTAAAGCCATCCATATCCTGCAACAAAACCTGCAACGAATTCCACAATGCAGACAGATTCATGGGAACAGCAATTCCCCTCGCTGCACCGCGAACCATTGCATTCACACGTGCGACATAAGCCGGTGTATACAATTGACCACCTTCAAGCCTACCCTTTACCTATACAAAGTTACAAACATCCACAAACAAATGACAATAAATTAATTATACTAAAAATCAAACAAACACCTCTTTTTGGAGGCTTTCTACTATTCCACCAATGATTTTCCCCCCAAAACGACAAATCAAATCCCAATTTATAATTTTACTGTCAAAACAACACATATCAAAATAACTATTCAAATTCAAAATTTTACTATTCAAAACCCATACACAAAATACAAACCCCCAAACAAACACACCCTAAAAAGCCCAACATATTTCACAAAATAGAAAAGAAAAGGATTAAGAAAAATGATAATTGAACAATCAAATTACCAAAGTCCCCAGGCGAGGTTCCAGAACAGAGGATATCAATTCAGAGCCCACTTGTAGCTGACCAGCAATTTCTGCCAGAGAAATTTGGCTGCATTCCTGCAGTCTCTCATTAATTTCTTCAGAAACGGTATCCCAATAACCATTCGAAATTATTTCCCCATTAATCAACATAAGCGATGAGTCATTAGACACAACATCCTGCGATTGTTTCTCGACATGGTACAAATCCACCCCTATTGTATCCGCCAAATCAATAAGCGATACTCGGCCTCTCTTATTTATTTCTGACGCTATTTCGCTCCTCAAGTGCTCCTACCAACGCCGAACCGATAAACAGCAGCGATAAAAAAAAAAAAAAAAAAAAAAAAAAAAAAAAAATTAATTAATTCTCAAACTAAACATCGACGATCAATCGAAACTAAGTTGACGAACGAAATGAAACAGTTACCGGAGTGATGTACTCTTTCCCGGAAGTGGTGTGAAGGAGACCGAAGTCAATGATTTGGAGCTGCTGAAGTTTCTGGACCAATTCGACGACGTTTCGCTCGGACAAACGGATGCTCGATTTGGCCTGCTGTGCGAACTCGAATTGTCGCTGAAGTTCAAGCAATTCCTCGTCCATGGCGGCGGCGTGATCCCAATTGCCGTGATCCTCTGTGAAGTGGAAAACTGCAAGAAAGAAATCAGGAATTACAGTTGCAATGTGCCGCAAATGTCAAATAGGAAATTTTTGGGGATTTTTGTCTCGAGTTTGGGATAGTATCATAATTCTCTCAAAATATTATTCACATAATACAATATGTAAAAAAATATAAAAATCAACAAAAATGTTCAAATATATATATATATATATTTTATTCTCTTATAAAAATAATATTCAAATATAAAATATATTTTATCATTGCACATTGAAAGACTTTCATCCAATATACTCGAAAAAGAATGTGCACATTAATACGAAAAAAAAAAAGGAATGTGTATATTAATACATCAGAGTTATGCGTAACTCTCGTGTATTGATGAGTTGGTGTTAGACCATTCGAAATTTGAATAAGATTAAGTGAGTCATCCAATATTGAATAAAGATTAAGTGATTAAAAAAACTATTCACGATAGTTAATAATGTGCACATTCTTTCTCGAAAACATTAAAAGACTCTATGCTTGTTATAGAGAACTTTGAGAATGAATAATTCCCTCATCCCATGATGCACGTGAAATGACTCGTATTGACATATAAAGTCAGTCGACGATCCCAAAACGCTCGATTTTGTATGACTTGCGGGTCATGCAACATAGTACTATAAGAAGTATGTGTTGTACGGTGTACATAAATGCATAGCACATATGTCTATGGTTGCAGATCGGATTGTCTGTCCCGTTAACATTCCCTATCCATTATCTCTATTCCCCACACACATTGTATGTATGTATATACATTATGTGTGTAAAGATAGAGAAATATAGTTTCTTTTTTTGGACAGAGGATCCCATAGGCTGTAGTTGAGTGTGATTTTTTTTTAGATTAACACGCTAACTTAGTCAAACCAACACCGTTATCCTAACCGCCGTGGTATTTTTCACAATATTTATTGAGATTACCTTTAATCAATAATAACTAAGTTATATTTTTTGAATTATATAAAATTTAAATAGAAAAATAAATACTACATTCCAGTTAATTACAAATTCTTGAAACCATTCTAATATTGTGCATCTCACAATTTATCCATATTATAATTGTATAAGTAGGATCCGTTTTCTTATACATACCAATTCAATCGTAAAAAATTAAAACGATAAACAACCATAAAAGTTACAATTCAAAGACACAAGTCTAAAAACCTTCGATTGTATCAACTCCATGATCATAATTAAAATAACTGCATCGACTTCTTTCCACAACAACAATATTATTAGCCATAAGTCCCAAGAAAATCTTCTCGTCGCCACCGGAGAAAAGCAACCAAGTCGGCCCTCAATGGAAGAGGCTCGGCACAAATTACCTCGTGATTCATAAAGTTTTTTGTCCATTCATATATAGCCGGAAACTTGTCTGGATCCAAGATTGTCATGGAGCCGAGTTCCTCCAAAACCGGCAATACGTAGGCAACAAATCCAAGGACTAAATCCAAATATCCAATTGTATCTCCTCCAAAGAATCTCTTCCCTTCAATTTTTTTTTCGAGTTTTTTCATCGCTACAATGATTTCTTTCACTTTCTTCTCTTGCTTCGTACCTTCGGTACAATAAGCCTCCCAAGATGCAAAAAATATCTAAAAAAGTAGGAAGTATTAATTTTGTGTATATTGAATGAATATAAGAAATATCGCATCAAATATATTTTTTCTCACATCAAATACTTAATACTTTTATCTTTAAAATTTTATAAAACTTCAAAATTTCCAACACTTGTACACAAAAACGAGCCTAAATTTTTAATTTCAATTTATTTAAAAAAAAAAAAAAACAGAAAACATACAGGAGAAAATATACAAACAGAATTTTCATTTATTAGTGTCTTGCATTTTACTCTCTTCTTCATTAGTTACTCATTCCAAAAAAAATCAATTTCTTCTCCATAAATTTCTTTCTCAAAAGTTTTATTTTTTATGTTATAATAAAAATAAATAAATTTTATATTCAAAATATTATGTCAACTTTTGTTTATATCACATCAAATAATTAATCAAATTCAAATTTTTACAATGCAAAATCAAAATCCCCAAACAAACACTTAATAAATGAAATCATTTATTCTTTCAAATACAAAATTTCTGATCAACTAGTGAAAATATATAAAATACCTTCTCGTCGATAAATTTGACCCAAACTCGAAGTTGAGCTCTATCAACGAGATCAGTAGGCAAGAGCGGATCGTGGCTCCAAATTTGATCGATGTATTCGATGATGATGGATGATTCGGGTAAGGGTTTGTCGCCATGAATAAGAACGGGCACTTTGCCGTAGAGAGGATTAATGTGATCAAGAAAAGGGGTTTTGTCGAAAATATCTTGTTCTATATATTCATAGTGAATGCCTTTGAGCCTCAATGCCCATTTCACCCTATCAACAAAAGGGCTTAACCAATACCCTACAAGTTTCACACTTTTCTTCTCTTCTTCTTCCATTTTTTTCTTGGCCATTAAAATTTCTTCTCTCTCAGTATATATATATATAGTTATATATTGATCGGAAATTCAAAATTTAAAATATTTGAAAATATAAAATGGAGAAGAAATATATCATCGGGTGGTGAGTAGTCTTACTCATTTATTTTGTGGGGTAGAAATGGTCCATTCAAAAAGAATATGTATGTGTAATTTGCTTGGGGCCTTTTTTATGGATTTTCTTTAATTATTTATGAATTTTTTTTTTTTTAAAAAAAATACTAAATCAAATATTTATTTTTTATTTTTATACTATTTTAAAATTTAATTTTACATTCAAACATTGCTTTCAAAATTCAAATTCTCGACCAAACAAGCAATCTTGAACTATTTGTAAAGAAGAAATAATAATAATAATAATAATAATGGTGGTGGTGGGGTTTTGACATTTTGATATTTTCTAAAAGATATTTTGGTATAGATATTTTCTTCTCTATTGAAATAAATATTGGTAAAGATATTTTGACATTTTCTTCTTAAAAAAGAGTTGGAGTTTGTTTAGTTTTGTATTTTGTTTTGATTTAATTAATAGTTAGATGTAAATTAATATTTTATAAGATGAATAATATATTGTTTATAAAAAAAAATTAAAATTGTATAGTTAAAAAAAAAAAAGATCAAAATAAATAAAACTTGCATGAAGTACAATCCAAGACACAACATCTTATATAAAACCAACTCCATTGTTCTATCGACTTCTTCCTCAACAGTATATAACGTTAAAAGGTATATATCCCGCGCAAACTTTCTCGCCGCCGCCGGATTAAGTTAAGCATCTCGGCCCTCGATGGAAGAGGCTCAGCGCAAATTACTTCATGATTCATGAAGTTGTTTGTCCATGCAAATATAGCCGGAAACTTGACCGGATCCAAGATTAATTTCGTGGAGCCGAGGTCCTCCCAAATTACCGGTAATAAGTAGGCAACAAATCCAACGATTAAATCCAAATATCCAATTGTATCTTCTCCAAAGAATCTCTTCCCTTCAATTTTTTTTTCGAGTTTTTCCATCGCAACGATGATCTCTTTTGCTTTCTTTTCTATAATATTTTTTTGCTTCACGCCTTCGGTACAATATGCCAACCAAGATGCCCAAAGAATCTTAGGAAAAATCAATGTATTAATTCTATGTATATAGAACAATTGGATAGTATAGTTGTTAAATTTGTAATTTCAAGCTAATATGTTTAGGTAAAGGTTTTTGGAATTTGAAGTTTTGAAAAAAATTTAAATTTCGTGTATTTAATGTAATATTTTATAAAATAAAACAAGAATTTTATATGATATATTTTTAAAGAAAAAAATGATTGATAAATAGTATTAAATTTTTTTTTAAATGATTATATAAACAAAATCCTTTTAAAAAAAAAAAGTAAAAGAAAAACGAAAGAACGTATACATTAAAACTATAAAAACTAATTACTCCTTATATATTTAATCACAAGTGTATATAAAAATGGTAATGGCCTTTTAAAACATGTGATCGTATTTCGGCTACAGAACATGGTGGTGATTTGACCGAGTCAGCATATGCTATATGGATGACTTTATACATATCGCAATATATATTGTGTTATAAAATAGTATATGTTGAGTTATAATAAGTTACAATATAATATATATTGTATTATAAATATGTTGAAATATGTGTAAATACACGATAGTCACCTCTATATCATATGTTGATCCGGTCAAATTAGCACCAGATCAGCGGTTGATCCATGTCATGTATTTCTTTGGTTTAAGTTATTATTATTATTTAATTATTCAAAATTTTAAAATCAAACTTAGGGATTGATTAAAACAAAACATTTAATTTATGCCGAGTAGATTGCAATTTACACTCTCAAAACATAAAAAATACCTTCTGATCGATAAATTTGGCCCAAACTTGAAGTTGAGCTCTCTCAAGGGGATCATTAGGGAAGAGCGGATTATGGCTCCATATGTGGTCGATGTACTCAATGATGATGGTCGACTCGGGCAACGGTTTGTTCCCATGAATAAGAACGGGCACTTTTCCGTAGAGAGGATTGATGTGATCAAGAAGGGGGGTTTTGTCGAAGATGTCTTCTTCTATATATTCATAGTGAATACCTTTGAGCCTCAATGCCCATTTCACCCTATGAGCAAAAGGGCTCGGCCAATACCCTACAAGTTTCACACTTTTCTTCTTTTCTTCCTCCATTTTTCTCTTTGCCGTTACATTTTCTTTTTCATATATATAGTTGCATAACATTGATCAGAAATTTGAGATTTAAAATGTTCGGAAAAAAAAAAGTGAAAATATTTCATAGGGTGGTGAGTATTTTAAATCATTTACTCTATAGGGTATAAATGATCCATTCCAAATGAATATATAATTACATATAGAAAAATATAGTTCTAAAAAAAATTAATAGCAAATTATATAATTAAATGTAGCAAAATATAATTTTGATTTCAGATTTTAGCACAGTAGATTCTAATTTTAGCTCAACGGTACAATAAATAAATTATATAACACGATACAATTATAACTCACACAACAAATATTAATACAATATATAGCATGACACATTATATAATTACATGTAGCACAATATATGTTGATTTTATCAGGAAATATAATCCACATTACACATATTTTTATATAACACAATATATGCTAATTTATTTGTAATAATTTGTTAATTATTTCAAGTTAATGTGCTAATTTGGTAATATATAATATTCCCTCCGTCCATTTAATAAGTTTACATTTACATTTTGCGTCATTGTATTTAACATTAAAAATATCCTTATATTTGTATATATATATATATTTTTTTTTTGTATAAACGTCCTTCTATTAGTATTATAAGACACTAATACAAGTCTTTTTGCCATTTTTTCCTGATTTATACTACGTTTTGATATAATAATTAATATTCAAATATCAACAAGTAAAAAACAAATGTAAACTTTCAAAGCCGACGGAAGAAATATATTTTATGATGATTTGCAAATTACTTCAAATTACTTTGCTAATTTAATCAAAATCAACATGATGCTGATTTAACTAAAGTAGCACCGTAATCAACGTGTTATATATATATATATATATACATAATTGAATGTTATTTATATGTGAGCCGCCCTAGGAATGCCTAAACATATTTAATGTAGATTTTATCTTTTTGCCTATCTTCTTAAGAAATATATTAATTTGGAAGTATTTGTAATAATAATAATAATATTAATAATAATAATAATATGACCTCACTATAAGAGCATGTTTCTTTTGGATCTGAATTGAGTTTGGAAGTTTAAAGGTGTGTTTAGTTTGTAATTTATATTATTATTTAGTCTAAAATAAAAATATAATATTTTTTTACAAAATTTCACATTAAAATAATAAAACTCAAACCAAATCGAACAAATCCGAATATTTTATTAAAATAATATTAAATATGATATTTTGTGAGAATAAAATTATATTTATTTTTAAAAAAATACAAATTTTAAATAATAAAAATCTCAATGAAAAATTCAAAGGATATTCTTAAGTATTTTTAAATAGTCTTGGAATTAAATTTATTTATCTAGAATAACAGGTTGTAAGCCAGACGTATACCTAGAATATATTATTGGTGTGTTCATGAACTTTATGCAACCAATTCGAAGAGAATATGAATATCTAAATATAGAATTTCGAACAACTATCGAGAAAATTGTTTGTTTACTTGTGAGGTTTTAGTTTTAAGTTTTGGTGTTAAATAATAAAATTTTGAATTAAAATAATTATTTAATATAATATATATATTGATATCATATTTTATATATAAATTTTAATTTTAGTATAATATAATAAATAAAAATTAATTGAATGAATTGATGTTTTTGATGGAAACGAAAATAGTAAAACTAAAGTCAAAACCTTACAAATAAACACACTATTTTTTTAGTATTTAGTCAATATGATTTTTAATAAAAATATAAAATTTATCTATTAAAACATCACATTAATATTTTATTTAAATTAAAATTTAAGTGAAAAAATAAAAATAAAAAACAAAATCATCGTGATTTTTTTTTTTTTTTTGTTCTTTTCCAATGTGACTTATGCAGGTGGCATGATTTATAAGCTATATTCTATCATTTTTGCTAAATTTTTAACATGATTTTTTAGGTATTATAATTTTGATAATTTTCAATGAGTTTGTCCTTAATTTTTATTTGAAATAATTTTATAATTATATTTATAAATGTTAAAGAGAAAAATTGAGTATAAAAGAAAAGAAAATTTACAAAATATTAAATATTTTTGATAATTTACTCAAACACTCCCATCATGTCTATATATTTATTTTTTATAGTACAGGAGACGAGTGAATGTATAGTTTTATCCCTAAAATTTCAATAATATTTTACGTGTAAATTGATGATATTATTGTAATAATATTTAAAATATAAAAAAATATTTAAAATTATAAGTGAAATAGAATTAAAAAAACAGAGAAATTAATTTTGGACGAAATAATTTTGTACTTAATTAAATATTGTTAAGTCTATACCAACATGGCAATATCTATTTTGAGTTAAATAATTATTCACTTTATAGTATTTTTTCTTAATTATTATTATACAATCATCACAATTTTATATATTACTTTCGTCTGACTCTAAGGGTCTCGATTACTTTTTGCATATTAATCTTTGAATATTAATCATTATATAAAAATATAGTATAAATTAACGAAAAATGACAAAAATACTTTTATTATTGTCTTATAATATTATCATAATGACATTTGTAAAGAAAATTATACAAATATAAAAATATTTTTAATATTAATCACAATGATACAAAAAGTAAATAAGACTTTAGAGCCGAATGGAGAGAATATAAAAATATTACTGTGAATTTACAACAAAAATACATAATATTTAATTTAAAATTATTGCATAAAAGTAAATAGACACAATTTGAATATTTACATATGAATTTTTTATAAGAAAATAAAATTAATTATATAATTCAATCAAGTATTTTTTTTCTTTTAATAAAATTATTTATAACCAACCTATAACTTGAAAAGTTTGCACAGTATTTTTCATTTAGAAACTTGGGTTTGTTTGGATTTGATTTGAAATTAGGGTGGTAGTTTTGATGCGATATTTTGTAATAGAAAATAATATATTTTTATTGAAAATCATGCATAATAAATACTAAATTGTACAAAATTCAATTTTGATTTCATGAAATTGCACGAAATTCTCCGTATTTTTAAAATTACGTCAAACTCCCTTTTGGTTTCATAAATTTTGCGTCTAACTCCCTCGACCCTTCTTATTTAACGTTGTTTGATCTGCACCGGGCAAAAGTGCGAATAATTTTCAAAATTTTCATTTCTAAACCCTTAAAATTACAAATATAGTCATCATTCTTATTATTTAACCTCAAGAAACAGTAAATATACTAAAAATATTTATTTTTATATGATTTTAATTTTTTTTACTGTTCTTTAAAACTAAATATAAGATAAATGAATATATTTATAACTTTAAGAGTTCATAAATGAGTATTATGAAATTCATTCGCAGTTTGAGCGCGTGTAAGTAAAAAACTAATAAATAAGGATGGCCGAGGGATTAGACGCACAATTTATGAAATCACGAGAAAGTTTAACGTAATTTTAAAATTATGAGAAATTTTGCACAATTTTGTGAAATTACAGATAGATTTTATACTATTTAGCCGAATAAATAATACTAGAATTTTTTATTTAAAATAATAAAAAAAAAAACCAACAAACAAACAAATTATCTCAATAATTTTTGGACCAAAACAAATACAAATATTGAATCTTGATTTTGAAAAATATGATCCAACTTTAACGGCCCACCGGCTGAAGCCCAGCTGCTATGATAGCTCAGTTTGAAAAAATAAAATTATAAAATCAATCTGATTCGAATGGAAATGTCGGAAATTAAATTAAATTTATAAAAATTGAACCAAACACATGATACAATTTTTTGTAAATATTATTAAAAATAATATAATATATAAATATCAATACAATATATAATATTTATTTTATTTATTTATAAAAAATTTAATAATTCAATACAAAATATTAATTTTATATTATCAATTTAATTTTTCATAATTAACATAAAAATTATATTTATTCAAAAATATAAAATACACAAACTCATTACACATATATTAATAGTATATAGTATTTGAATAACAAATACAAATAGTGACCGTACGACTTTGCTTTAGGAGATTGTACCCCACTTTCCCCACCCACCCTCCCCCACTCCTAATTTAATATTATCAATATTTGATTTATTTTTTTTTTTTTCACTTTTAAATATTAGTATAATACTAATATGTAATTACAAATTAAGATAAATAATAAAAATAATCTTGTTAGTAAAATATAATATAAATATAATAATATTTATGTAATATATTATAAATTATAAATATATTTTTTAATATTAAATAGAATTATTAAAAAATAAATTTTTTTATTCTATATATTAAAATAAAAAATAAATAATTTATTAAGTGACGAATATAATATATATAATATAAAAAAACAATTGAAATAAATAAAAATTACTAAAAATTAGGGCTTGATTGATTTTACGTTAAAGTTAAAATTGTTATTATTCGATTTGTATAATTTTTAATAAAAATATATTATTTTTATTATAAAATACTCTTATTTAAACAAAAATTTCAAAGTAAACTAACATTAAACAAACTCGTAGTTATGATTCTAAGGCAATCTTAATTATTTTTTAAAAGTAAAATTTTCTTTTGAAGAACAAATATACTTTTATCGATTTTAAACAATACAAAATTAAATATATGTAATATGAATTTTTACGGCTATATTTTGTTGTTTATCAATTATTTTAAATACGAGTATTAGGGTGTTAAATAATACTCCATTCGTCCCAATACAATAGTCTTGTTTACCATTTTTGTCATTCTTAAAACAATAGTTTCATAAAACTACTCTTATTTTTTTATTATTATTACACAATTGTCACTACTTTTACATTAATACACTCACAAGGGCAAAAAAATCTTTTACTCATACTTTTTACCCACTACCAATATAATATCAATATTCCTTAAATTTCGTGTCAAACATAACCCAAACTATAGTTTTGGGACGGGAAAATATTTTTTTTGCCCCAAAAGAAAAATATCATTGATTTTTTATGTGTAGATTTTTTAATATTTCCTCAATTCACAACTAGACGTCTTATTTTACCATTTTAGTTGTCCGAATCAAAACTTCTTATTTGTTTTTTTAGATTAACTAACTCTTACCTAAAATACCCCTACGCTTTACTTTAATGTCGAGGGTAAAATGAAAATTACATTACTTTATTACACTATATATTTATAAAATATTAATTTACTTTAATTCGCGTGTAAAAGTCAAATGAGAAATTTAATCTTTGACGGAAGGGGTATTAATTATTATATTAATATATAGTGTGAATTAAACTATATAAATATAAAATTATTTTTTTATGTTAAGTATAATGAAAAAACAAATAGTACCCTTCTTATGAGACGAAAGTAATACTCCTTCCGTCCACATAAAAAATATACATTTACTTTTGGCGCGGTATTTAAGAAATAATAGTATTTTATTTATACTAGTTAGTTAAAAGTAGTGTAATGATATTTTTGTCCTTGTTTTTTTTTATGTAAAAGTAACGATGTAATATAAAGTAAAAATATTTGTGGTAAAAATAAAGTATTTAATTAAATATTTACTTCGTAATTGGACGTTCCAAAATAGAAATATATATATTTTAGTTTGACGATTAAATTAATCAATATTTTATTGATTAGCCTCAATCAATACTATAATCAATTTGGTTTTTAATATATCGAAACTTGAATAATATAATTATTTGTAAAAAAATAAATATGTATCATTCTACAAATATATTTAAAATAATTGTGTTATTTTAAAATTTTGGAAACACAACATATCTTGTGTGTTATTTTAAACCATTTTTAATTACATTTTGGTTTGATCACTGCATATATTGTATCTATATTTACTATGTATTGATCTATTAACACCAATTAGCTTAATAATAATAATAATAATAATAATATACTCCCTTCGTCCCGGTGCAAGATTGTCGTTTGTTTTTTACACATATATTTTTTAATATTAATATTATAATGAGTTGTAGTAAAAAAAAAAAAACAAAAATACTCATATTAGTATTGTGTAATATAAAAATAATGACATTTGTATGTAAGTTGAAAGAATATTTATTATATTAGGTAGACAGTACATTACTAAATTATGAAATGATAATCTTGTTTTAGACGGAGAGCATTGTCTTTATCCTAAATAATTATTTCATTTTTTTATTGTCGGTTACAATTATGTACAATCATATACAATAAACAATTTTATCTGCTGACAATTACATTACCCATATGACCAATTTTTCATTCTTTTTCTACTTACCTATTACTTATTACTATCTCTGTCTCACGTATTGTGTCTGCTACATTGTAGACACTGCATTTTAGGAAGGATGTAATTAGTAGATAATTAAGAATGCATTAGTGAAAATAATTATCCTATAATATAAATAATTATAAATTAAGATTAAGATAACTAATTAGTTTAATTAAAATTTTTAAAAAAAATTAAAAAGTTTAAAATGAGATTAAAGTGTGTAATCATTTTTCAAAAACGAAAAAATGACATGGTATGTGGGACGGACAGAAACGGCAACGTGGATATAGTATGTGGGACGGAGGGAGTATTTTAATAAAATTTTTATAAAACATCTACTTTCTTTTACATATAATTTTTATATTAAAATACTACTCTCCGTCTTGTCGTCACATATGATCTATATTTACTTTTTATAAATTTATTCATTTTAAACGTACTTAATAAATATAAATTAATTTAATTAAATTTTTAACATTTTATACGTATGACTCATTCAAAGTTTTTTATTTATTTTTTTTATCTTTCCTCGATAAACAAATATTATATCTATATTTAAAATTCCTCACTTTTTATAAAATTGGTTTTAATTTAATTATAAATAAAAAACAATTTTTTTTATGTATTTGTATTATATAAAATTTTATTATTTACAAAATAATATCCATATTATATACTATATTTTATTGAGACACAATATTTTAAATATTAACAATACTACTTTCATAAAATATAATAAAATAATATCATAATTTATTATTAATAACTTACTAATTTACTATTTAAAATATCATGTCCTTAATCAAATGTGTTATCTCGGGACGGAGGGAGTATTAAGTTTTAGTCTTTCTATTTAAATATTATGACTTTGTTCTTTTAACTAAAGTTCTCTAATATATTTTTTTAAAAAGTTAATACTCTCTCCGTCCCAAACATCGTGTTTGCTACACTGTAGACACGGTATTTTAAGAGGGGTGTAATCAGTAAATAATTAAGAATATATTAGTGAAAATAATTATCCTATAATATAAATAATTATAAATTAAAATTAAGATAACTAATTAGTTTAATTAAAATTAAAAAAAAAAATTTAAAAATCTAAAATGAGATTAAAGTGTGTAATCATTTTCCAAAAAACAAAAGTGACATGGTATGTGAGACGGACCGTGGATATGATATTTGGGAAGGAGGGGGTATATTATACATATTTATTATTTTATTATTTATAGATCAAAAAACTTATTTTTCATATAAATTATTACGTTAAAAAAATTAAAATTATTAAATAATTAAAAAATATATTAATAAAAATAATTATAAATTAAAATAAATAAAAAATTTAATTAAAATTTTAAAAATAATTAAAATGTATAATCATATATATATATATAAATTATGTGAGAAAAAAATAGAAACAAGTTATGCGATAAGATGAAATAAAATATAAATAAAAGTGAAATGCAAATTGGATCCAAGTATATTCGTAAAAACAGAGACACGCGAATTCTGCAAGTCGAAGGCAAGGCCACATGGCGGCGCAGGATTGGCGGTTGCAATGAAATCCACAGAGGGACGCCCTTCCCATTCGCCCAATTAAGCCGCCATACATATTACCATTTTATTTAATTTAATAATAAAAACAATTTCTAATCGTGCAGAATTAAAAATTAAATTAGGGTTTCTTCTTTTAAAACGACGTCGTAGTGGCAGTCAGACGCCATTGGACACGTAGCGCAACGACACACCCCCTCGCCGTTTCTCCCACGAATCACGACAAAGTCCCCAAACCCCTTCTCTCCCTCTCTCTCTCTCAGTCGGTCCAATATAATCAATCCCCTCTCTCTCTCTATATATATATACATATATATATTCCTGTATCTATCTTTATACGTATCTGTGTGCTGCTTCTGCTGTTTCTGTTTTCCAATTAATTAATTATATTATTATTATTATTATTATTATTATTATCATCTATGCATACACAAAGATAGATAGATAGATAGATATAGAGAGAGATAGAAAGTGGTGTGAATGTGTAATAAAAATTTGCAGAAAATAAATAAATAAATAAAACAGAAAGGGTGATGAGCACCGCTCAAGTGAACCATTCACAACACAACGTATGGCTGCTGCCGTATAATCCGGAATGAGTTCAACATATTAATGTTGTGTTTGTTTGTGGCAGGGCTACAATTTATATTTTAAACAGTAAAATTTTGAATTTAAATACTTCGTATATCTGCTTTTAAAATCATAGTATTTAATATTAAAAATATATTTATATTAATATTTATATATTATTTTTTTATAAATATCTTATTAGAATTAGAATTTTTTATTTTTTAATTTATATTATGTTTTATTATATAATAGGAATAAAGTAAAAATGACTGAAATAATTTTATTAGTACGTGTGATATAATGATATTTGTGTAATATATTGTAAGTTATAAGGGTATTTGTAATATTGGGTATATAGTATAGTTATTATAAAAAAAAATGAATACTTTGTTATGGAACGGACTAAAATGAAAAAATAAATATTTTATTACGGGATGGAGAGAGTATTAAAAATTAACTCACAAAAAATAAATAGGACCTTATAGCTAATTTTTTTAGTATAATATAATATAAACGTATATTATTATTTTTAAAAAAATTAAATTGAGTATAATAGAATAAAAATAATAATTATACATTTAATTTGATATTATTAAGAAAAAGAATAAAATAATAAAATCAAACCTAAATTCACACAAACGAAGACATCCTAATACAGTACTACTTGTTTACGTACATATTTTTTTGAATTTTTTATATTACTTTTCAATATTATTATTATTTTTAATAAAAATATTTATATTACAATATATTTATAAAATATCAAATTAAATACTTTAAATTTTTATTATTTTTTTAAAATTTAAAATTCTTAACGTCAGTTATATTTAAATGAAAGTAATTGTAGTTTTAAGAAACCTGAAAAGTAAAAAACAAAAAATAAATAAAAAAAAAGATATATTTAATTTAATTTAATTTGAATTTAAAATTAAAATTTATTTGATTTAGATAGTAGTATTTTAATTTGATATTTTATAAAAATAAATAATATATTTATAATAAAAAAAAATTATAAAAATGAAATAGAAAAAGAGTATATTCATAATCATAATAAAACAAACCCATTATATTTGTAAATTTATTCTATTTTATGAAAAATACCATTAAAAAATAGGATATCTAAAAATTCTAAAAATATTTATGATAAAATAAAATAAAATAAGCATATTTGCATTTGCATTTGCATTTGTATTTGTATTTTCATTTCCATTTGCATTTCAAAGAGAGGTTTTCTTTTAAATATTCTTGTTTTTTTCCCTCTTTTGGTTGAGTTGGGATTTTATCCTTTTCTGTGTCTTTATCTCTCTCTCTCTCTCTCTCTCTTAATTGAAAGTCGAAAACTACTCTCTACTCTCTAACCCCCCATTTTTAATTTTTCTTTTCTCTCTCTTACCAAAGAGAAAACCTCCACAGAAAAACTGATTTGAACTTATCTGGTGGCCAGAGATACTAAAGGAAGAAGAAGAAGAAGAATGCAAGCCATTAAAGAAGAAGGAAGCCATTAATGAAGAAATAAAAAAGCTCACATTGATACAGCTTCCTGCCTGCAACAACCAAACCAAATAATAATTACTAATCAAAATCAATTCCCTCTGGTAGTTGAGTCACTGTCCGATTTAAGATTTTTCAGGTTTTCTTCAATCTTGTCCGAGTTAGGAATTAGGGTTTTCTTTCATCTTCATCGTCATCGTCTTGGATGAAGAATCTTTTTTTTTTTTTTTTTTTTCTGTGTATTTTATAATTATCGAATTTGGTGATTCTGGAAAAAAGATAAGATAAAGACTCCCCCAGATGCTTTATGTTGCAAGTTGAAGAAGAAGAAGAAGAAATTAAATCGATCTCCTGGGGGCCCTTTTGTGAACCTGTTACCTTAATCAATTACAATCGCCATCTCTTCCTTATCCATCCGTACACACTATTTTTCCTTAAAACTTGTCCCATCTTTATCACCATATCTATTATTATTATTATTATTTTTAATTAATTAAGTTTTTTTTTTTATTTTTTTCAGATTCTTCTTCGTTTGTGCCGTCGATTGATTTTGGGGAGATGATTATGGAAGAGGTTGTGGATGTTGGGGGTAATGATCTTTACTTCGGCAGCGGCGGCGGCGGTGCGGCGGTTGGAAACCCTAATTGCTTCGATCCAATGGAGGAGGACAACAATCCGGCGGGGGATGTAATGGCGGCGATTGGGGAGAAAGATTTGGAGAATCTTCTAGATGTTAACGATTCCGCCATTTTTTACAACGATTTCCCGCCGCTGCCGGATTTTCCCTGCATGTCGTCGTCGTCGTCGTCGTCGTCGACGCCGGAGAAAGCCATCGCCGCAGCGGCGGCGAACTCCACCTCCACCTCCTCCGCCGCCACTTCGTCGGCGGTTATGAAGTCCGACAACGAGGAAGCCATGAGTTTCCATGATTTAACCAACAACGACGACGATCCGGCGAAATTAGACCACGGAGGTGGAGGTGGCGGTGGCGCCGCCCTCTCCTCCACTGCCTCCATGGAAATCCCGCCGCCGGCCGATTTCGTCGACGTCGACTGCATCGATTTCAACTGCATGGATCTGATCGACACCGCCGATATTTGGGACCCGTCGTCCGTCTTCCAGACGGAGAACCCTCTGGAGTTTCTAGAAGATCATCATCCGACGGCGGAGACGGAAGCGATCAAGATCGACGGCCACGATTGCTCCGATGAAAACGGCCTGAGTTTCCTGCAGGGTAACAGCGAGCTCGCTGTCATCTTCCTCGAATGGCTGAAGCAGAACAAAGATTACATCTCCGCCGACGACATGCGAACCATCAAATTGAAGCGATCCACCATTGAAAACGCTTCGAAGCGCTTAGGATCTTCGAAGGAAGGCAAGAAACAGCTCCTGAAACTGATTCTCGAATGGGTTGGACAGTATCAGCTCCAGAAGAAACGATCGCAGGATCTTAATCAAAACCCTAATTTTACCCCCAATTTGATGACCTTCAATTCAATACCCAATTGCTTCCCAACCACCCCCCAATGGATCCCGCCGCCGCAAGGAGTCCCGGCGCCGCCGTACTACGGCGGCGCACCTTACTCCAACACAATTGCTCCGATGAGCCATCAAATCGTGAACGGAATTCCGTACCCGCCGGAGTATCCGGTTATGGAGCACGCGCAATCCTGGCCGGCGGCGATGCTGCCGTACCCAATTCCGGCGCCGGCGACTTCGCCGGCGCCGTTCAGTCCGTTTTCCGACGGGAACATGGCGAGCCATCAGCAGACAGTGTACGGGAATCCGTACCCGATTGTTGGTCCGAACGGGGAAAGGCTGATGAGGATGGGGTCGTCGGCGACAAAAGAAGCTCGGAAGAAACGGATGGCACGGCAGCGCCGCCTCTACACCCACCACCACCACCACCACCGCCACGGAAGCACCTCGAATCATCACCAGAATCAGATTCACGACCCAAATTTGCTCGGCGACGCTGCCGACGACTGCGATCCGGCGAATTGGCTGTGCTGTCCTCACGGCGATTCATCGCCGGGAACTGCGCCGCCGCCGGAGGCAGTCCAGCCAAATTCCGGTGATCGACAGTCGCTGCCGCCGGCAACATCCCAGCAGAATAACCGGCGACAGCAGCAGGCCAGTTTTTTATCTGTTCTTCGAATTAATTTATTCGATAATCAAAATCTTCCGATTTTCATTACAAAGTTGTTGAATCGATCTGTAGGGATGGAAGACAGAGAAGAACTTGAAGTTCTTGTTGCAGAAGGTCCTCAAGCAAAGCGATGTAGGAAATCTGGGAAGAATTGTGCTGCCAAAGGTATGCAAGAATTATTATCGATTGCAGGAATTCTGACATTTTAGGATCTGATTACAAACTGTAATGATCGAACAGAAAGAAGCTGAAAGCCATCTTCCCGAGCTCGAAACGAGAGACGGAATTCCGATCGCCATGGAAGACATTGGAACTTCTCGAGTATGGAATATGCGATACAGGTAACTATCCATTATCGTCAAATTTATATATCGAAATAAAAATGATTACAATCATCGATCTTGGTCTGAACTAAGGTTTTATTGAATGGTGAATTGATTATAAATTTAGGTATTGGCCTAACAACAAAAGCCGAATGTATCTTCTCGAGAACACCGGTAAGCGAAATCGAACTTGCTCGAATTATATTGCATCCTTTGAAGTTCACAAATGTTCTAACATTCTAGTTACCGCTACAAATATATTTTTTTAACTATGTTCCTGACATTATTCAATAAAAAACATATTTTTCTTCAATAGGAAACATTGTATCAATTCATCGGCAACTGTTTATATCACATTAAATATCAATTCTTAAATGTTCTTACACAGGTGATTTTGTGAGAGTAAATGGTCTACAAGAGGGCGATTTTATAGTGATCTACTCCGATACAAAATGCGGCAAATATGTAAGAAATTATGCATAACCTTCATTCAAATTTACACATTATGTTTTTTTTTACTCCTATCTCCATTAAATAGACTCGGAAGAAATTTGTAGTAAATTAAAAAATTAATATTATATTGATAATTAGATTTGTGTTAAGAAAAAAATAAATAGTAACAATAAGATCAAGGGTAATGTTTGTAATAATATTTAAATAAATATAAACAATAGTAATTATATAAACTATAAATGGTAAGTGGGACTATTTAGATAGGACCAAAGTAAAATATAACATTACATTTACTTTTTATCGTTTCCATATATATTTTCTTGGTTGTGGACTATCATAGCGTATTTATGATACATCATATCTTATTTTATAAGATAATATATATTGTGTTATGCAAATATACATGTAATATGCTTTTATATGACACGCTGAATCTATCAAATCAATATCATGTTGATTTGATTGGATCGGCACCTGATCCGCGTCTATATATATATATATATATTTTTTTTACTGTAGAAGTAAAAAATTTGACGACGAAAGAAGTATAGATTATAGTTCATAGTTTATAATCTTATATTTTTTAATTTTGCAAGTTTTATCGACTTTGCGATACAATGCAGATGATACGCGGCGTCAAGGTAAGGCAGCCGGGCGCGAAACAAGAGGGGAAAAAGCCGGCGAGGAGGAACATGCGCAACTTATCGATTGCCGGGAACAGTTCTTCCTTAATCAAACAAGCCGTACGATGAAGATGAAAGAGTGGTATATATATATATATATATATATAAGTGTTAATTAAGTGTAAGGTTACATGTTTTGGTTGGATTAAGGTGATGATGCATAGTTAATTAGGGTTTGCAGTTTGAAGGGCTATTTTGGGTGCAACTTGATGGTCATTTGAGGGGGACTGTATCTCTATAATTATTTGTTCCATGTATTTGTATTTTGTACTATTATTATTATTATTTATTTTGTTGTTACTGTAGTTGTTATTATATATTACCTCCTCCGACTTTAAGGTTTTTATTTATTTTTTTTGAGTATTGATCTTTAAATACTTCTTCCGTTTCAGAACTATAGTCTGATCGTGTTTGACATGAGATTTAAGGAATATTAATATTATATTAGTAGTGGGTAAAAAAAAATTTTGCGTGTAATGATAATATAAAAGTAAGAATAGTTTTACAGATTATTTATGAATATGAGATTATTATTTTGGTATAAACAAAAATGGTAAATAGAACGGAGGGTATTAATTATTATATCAAAATATTATATAAATTAAAAAAAAAATGTAAAAATACTTTGTATTATTACATGACAATTAATTAGGGTTTGATCAGATGTGTAATGTTTGCTGGTAATTAGTTCATACTTTGTTTTGTTATTATTTCAATTGTAAATTTTTTACAAATAATAATGAAAAAAATATACAAACTTATGTATAGAAGTTAAAAAAAAAAAAAAAAAAGGGTCAAGAAAGTTTTAAATATTCATTAGATATTTAATTTAAAATAATATATTTTATATTTTATACAATTTTTTATATTATACGCTAAAAATTATTTCAATCGTTTAAAAACGTCTCTGCAGCAAGTGTGGGTCTCGGCAAGTTTTGAATGCATGATCTTGTTATTACATTTTTTTTTATTTTTTTTAATTTTATATTATTATTTTTTTAAAAAAATAATTACATATTTTAATTATATTTTATATTTTATAATTTATATATTTTTTTTAAATTTAAATTAAATATAGTTTCAGTTAGTTTTGATTTTCAACAAGTCCCCGCAAAATAAAAATATGGGTTTTTATTGCAACTGGCGGGAGTTAATTAGGTATCTTATCTTTACCATCAAATTCTTTTCAAATTCCTAAAAAGAAATATACATATTGATTAAAGAGTGAAAAAAAATAAAATAAAAAATAATTATTTTTCACAATATATATATATTTTTTTGTACAAATGTTATTTTTGTCATTTTTTTTTAATTTATACTACGTTTTTATATAATAATTAGTATTTAAATATCAAATGCAAAAAGTAAATGAACCCTTGAGACGGACGGGGGTTAGTATATAAATATTTAATTTGAATAAATTGGGTCGAATCAGACACAGTTTGACCTTCATGGGTCCAGGCACAACGCGGTTCATTGGCGTGTCTCGTCAGACACAACCTGAAAAGTTTCGGAAGTTCAAATACGGTATTTTAGTTTCAAGTTCAAAGCAGATTTTCGTATCATGCCTATTTTTGTCAATTCTGAATATGATAGTTTGTATCAATATGAATAGAACTGTTTCACAAACCATTGCTGGATGAATGTTAACTATGTTTGTATTATACATTAATATCAAAATACCCTTAAATTTTACTAAAATTACAAAAATAATTAATAAAATACTATTATTTTTTAATCTATTAAAAAAAATAAAAATTCAAATTATCCTTTCATTAGGAATGGATGAAGTATATAATTAAAATAAATTTAAAATATATGTTTAAATATTTTAAATATGATATCTTCCTAAAAATATATGTAGTCTATGTACTCAATAATTAATTTTTTAAAGAATTGATACAAGCAGAAAAGAATAGTGATAAATGAATTATTATTTTCTAAATCATATCTAATAAAATTATTATTATTATTATTATTATATATATTGTTCATAAAATTAACAAATAATAATAATAATAATAATAAACCATAATATCATTTCCACGGCTCCTGCATCTAATGTACGGATCCTCAGCCGTGGAGCCTTCTACCTTAAACTTTTTTTGGAAGAGTTTCTTATCCAGAGCTTTAAGGTTGTGCTTTGGGTTTTATCACAAATTATTATTATTATTATTATTATTTTCAAAAATATTGCATTAAATAATTACTTTTTTTTATATTATACTGTAAATTTATTTTACACGTCAATATTTATATTTATATCAGGTCAAACAACTATTCTAATTCAACCTTTTACTATTTAAAAATTCAAACCCAACATCTCAACTTCTAGATTGTTCTTAAGCTCAATGATCAGTATGTCCTAACCTTGTCCAATTCCGACGTCACGTGTGTTTGTTTGGAGGTTTGGATTTTGGATTGAAATTTGAATAGTAAAAATTTTGAATATGAATAATTATATGATATGATATAAATAGGTGTTAGTGTGATGTTTTGAATGTAAAATTAATTTTTAATATAATATAAAAAATAAAAAATATGTATTTAATTTGATATTTTTTAAAAAAAATTATATAAATAGTGAAGTTTGGAGAAAATCTCCCAAACAAACACACTCTTAAATAAACTCCAACTCCCATAACAGGGAGATGCATTGCTGAAAAAAGAATTTGAAATAGTAAAAACCAAAATAAGAATTGTAAACACACTATTTTTTATGTGAATGAATTTTGTATTATGCCGTTGTCATTCTTGGTTCTTTTAAATATAAAAATAACAAAAAAAAAAAATATCATTGTTATATGCAATAAAGAGAATTGTGAGTGGGTGTATATATACAGCTTATTACGCTGAAGACTACACTTGTAAATATACCATAAGACATATGTGCGTTAAAGATAATCTTCAAGATCAAAGTCATCAACGCGTCAATTCTTCATAGGTAGCTGGGATTGGAATTGTGAATGACAAGTCAAGGATAACTTCGTCATATAGCCTAACTGCCAAAATAAATGACATATACAAGCCAAATACAAGTTAAAATTAGACATGATGAACAAAAAAAGATTGCAATTCAAAATATATATGGAATTAAAAGACATAGCTTTGATAAATTGCAATGATATTATAAGGGTAAATTATATAACACCACCTTGTATTTCAATAAAATTATACAAAACACCTTATATTTTATTTACTACGTAAAACTCCCTTGTGTTAATGCAAAGTTTGCTCGAGATACCCTCTTGCTCCAAAACTGATATTTGGTTATAAATAAAGACCTAAGTTACGCAAATTTTATACAAATAAAAAAATAACTTTGATTTTTACAAAAACTATAAAAACAAACGATTAACCAATTATTTATTTATTTTATTCAAAAAAATTATTTAAGATATTTTACGTTTTTTATTTGTATAAAACTTGTTTAATTTAAGTCTTTATTTAGAAAAAAATATCAATTTTGGACAAAAGAGGGTTCATGCAAACTTTATATTAATACAAGTGAAACGCAATAAATAAAACACATGTTTCGTGCATTTTTATTAAAATACAAGAAGGTATTATATAACTCGATGCACTGCGGAAGCATTATAGACTATGAAGCAGGCTAAGACTAATAAATTCCACTTCTTCATTTGCATCTGAGTGTGCCTACTTGAATTTGTTTGTAGATGCAGAGATCTATTATTATTATTATTATTATTATTATTATTATTATTATTTTGATGGACTCCACTTTAAAGACAATATAAAGGTTGTGGTTTGAATGTTGTGACACTTGATCTTAATGAAAAATTATTCATAATTGTCTTTGTTGGTACTAAGCATAGTCATTTTTATATCTCATTAACATATGGATTTACCATCGTTGTATCTATGATGCCGTTGTCGATGCTAAAAATAATGATAATTGAGAATGATATTAATAGAAGTTGCGAGATGTTGAATCTAATAATCCAAGGGCGTAAAATGAATTTTCATTCTTCTCTAACTGACATCACATGCTACTTAAGGCTATTTTTGTCGTATTTCCTTATAGTCATCATGCTTCCTACCTTGGATACTTAGTGGATAACTTTAAAAAACAAATATGTTTACTTTTTAACATATTTTTATGCACCAAATCATGCGGAAATATCCATAACATAATAAAAAGACATAGGAATCTGTCGTTAAAAAGATTGCGTATGCTTCTACAAAGTTAGATTACGAGGATAATATATCGAACATTGTCGAGTCAATGCCCCTAGCAAGAGAAGTTATTATACAATTGCAACTATACTTATTGGTAAATCAAATGCTTTGTTCAAGGTCAATTGTTGGGGCTATAATAAACAAATACAATATGTTTCGCCTCATTAAAAAGATAATAAGAAATGAATAAATTTAAAGTATTACACGTGGCACTAATAGCATGGCCACATGTGCAACACATCATCTCCGGTAGGCCACGATGGCACCAAGCAAGCAGCTTTGGTATCGGAGGACTAATTCCACATGATCCACAATTTGTAATCATGAGGTCACAGGATCAAATTTTCGATGCCTTCAGGCAAAAAAAAAAAAAAAATCACATGAGGAACTAAAAACACAAGTTATCCATTATTATACTCTGTTATCTCTCCTAAGTAGTCATACTTCTTGATAACCCATATGGGACTAAACCTAAACATTTGGCACTTCAATTTCACCGTAATTATTTCTTAAATTTTCTACTATTCATTTTTCACACCTCCGGTAGGAACATACATTATTTTCTCTGAAAAAACATCATGTTCAAACCACTATTCAAACTAAAATTCAATTAAAAAAAAATTACCAACCAAACAAGCCCTTGGATTCGAAACATTTCTAAATGCCTGTATATCTCAAAGGTAGTCAACAACAAACCAAGCTTGTACATAAAATTTATTGTATAATTCACCCCTGTTCATCCACAAATTTGTGCACAAAATTGAGATTCTATGCACATTTTTTATTTATATTAGGATGAATTATGCAATAAGTTCTATACAAAATATTTAATGCATTTCAATTAAAACAGATGTACCTTAGATTATTTTACTCAACATCCAGACACAAGACTGTATGTGGTCATTCATTATATATAGAGCATAAACTTCTTCCTTGATATAAAAAGGTTTGTGTTCTAAAGAACATTACCTGGAAAAAAAACAGAAAGGAACGATCGATCTTGATTCAGCAGTGGATATAATCTTTCACTTTTCTCCGACAGCATCAAGCATCAACTTATACAATGCAAAGCCACCTTCATGACATCCAGGCATTTTACGCGCAGCTGCAGCCACCTCGATCTGAAAAGAATACGATAATTAATAAATAAGTGAATCGTGAGAGGGTTTTGAAAAGTTGAGTGAAATGTTAACCCCATTTCTGCGCAACATGCAGCAATTCTCATTCGAAATTCGAGAAACTTGAAATCAAAGACACAACTCGCAGTAGCCAAGTGAAAGTTGCGCGACACTGACCATTGGCATAGTATAGATCTGAGTGGATTCGAAGCCATCTTGAGCACCACGATAGTGTTGTTGAATCTTCTTTGATTGAAGACTGCATTTAATGTAAAAGAAAGCTGTCGGTCTAACGTTCAGCACCCGCTGGGATATCCCAATAAACACTGGTGTATCCTGTGTAATAAGGAAATTCAATGTCGTCAAGTCACTCCAATTGTTTGTGCAGTATACAATGATGATAGCATTAGATGTGGCAATACATATGATCGAAATCAAGCTTAGAATAGAAAGTCGAATCTGGGAAGATTCATAGGCAGTCACTGGTCACAATCGAATACTACACTATGTATGAGGTTTTTATTTAAATTTTGTTGAAATAAACAACTCATGTTGAGTAGAGAACAAACTTCAGGATAATTAGATACACAGAAATGCCGTGATCGTGACTGGTTCTCATACATAATTGGGTTTTTTGAAAAACATAATCTGTCGTCTTTAATGACTAGTTCTAGTCCAAGATTTTTTTCAAACATGTGATTATGCTAATCACAGGGTGCTTAACACAAGAACCAAGGCTGCTGCCTTGCTATAGATTGGAATGGGATGAAGAACAATCATTAATTGGTCAGGTATAATAGTGAGATCGAGTCAATACACTCAACTTTCCCTCCAACAACAAGAAGCAATCCCACGTTGAATCTTTTTGAGAAAACATCACCAATTCAGCAGTAGCCATTCCTTCTAGGGCCAAATTTATGTTACTACAGCAGCTTATATTATAAATAAATCTCATTCTAGGGCCTTAGGAGGCAAATCCCCCGAAACAATATGGTTAGGAAAACCTGTGGAATTTTCAAATTTCAAGGTTTTTGATTGTGTTGCTTTCACTTTTATTAATCTGATAAACTTGAACCAAGGGCTGAAAAATATGTTTTTTTTTTTTTATATCCCGAAGGTGTTAAAGGTTATAGATTATGGTGTAAAAACTACCCAGGTTTTAAAACTGTAATTAGCCGTGATGTGACTTTTAATGAACATAATATGCCATGTCTAAACAAAACCACTGCTGATTGTGATAATAGTCCAAATACGGTGGAGTCTAATAGAAATCCTGTTAATTCTTTTGAATTAAAGAGTGCTAAAACTGATTTTATGTCTGAAAATGATGAATTTAATTATGTTCCAGCTGCAATTTCAGTTTTAGAGAGGTCTGAAAGTGATATTTCTGTACCAAGTGGTTCAAACTTGTGTGAATCTAATGTTGGTCCGTGTGTGTTAATGAAAGACCAAGATGAAATATTAGGCCTCACACTAGATTAGATGATTATAATTTAACTTCATATGCTTTTAGTGTGTTTGATTCTTTTGATGGCAATGAACATAAGGCTTTTAGTGAAGCTGTAAGATCGAAACATAAAAATGAATGGTTTTAAGCAATGCAAGATGAAATGAATTATTTGAAAGTGAATTAAACTTGGGAATTAGTCCCAAAGCCGGAAAATTGTTTTGTCATTGATTGCAAGTGGTTGTTTAAGGTTAAAAATGAGGGTGAACAAAATATTAGGTTTAAAGCAAGATTAGTAGCAAAAGGTTTTACACAGAAAGAGTGCATCGATTATAATGAAATATTTTCTCCCGTTGTAAAATTTTCTATTGTTCGTGTTATGCTTGCTTTAATAACTCATTTTGATTGAGAACTTAAACAACTTGATATGAAAATAACATTTATATATGGTGATTTGGATGAACATATTTACATGAAATAGCCCGAGGGCTTTGTAGATAAAAACATGTCTAATTTTGTGTGTATGCTTAAAAAATCTTTTTATGGTTTGAAACAACCACCAAGACAATAGAATTTAAAGTTTGATGAGTGCATAAAATCTTTAAATTATAAAAGAAGTGAATATGATCATTGCTTGCATTTTAAGACTGTTGACAACATACCTGTATTTCTTTTGATCTATGTTGATGATATGTGTTAATTAATCCAAATCTGAAAATTATAGATCAAATCAACAAGTGTTTAAATGATCATTTTGATATGAAATTTCTTGGTGATGCAAAAGTCATCTTATGTATGCATATTAAAAGAGATGGCAAAACAAAAATCTGGTTTTGGGGCAGCCTACCTATATTGATAAAATTCTGAAAAAATTTAATATATTAAACTCCAAAGTTGTTAATGGGCTACTTGCTTCTCATTTTTGTTTGAGTAAAAATAAGTAACCTAGAAGTGATTCAGATCTTGCATATATGAAAATTGTGCCATATTCGAAAGTCATAGGTTCAATTATGTATCTCATGGTTAGTATTAGACCCGATAATGCATATGATGTTAGTTGCTTGAGTAGATATATGTCTAATATGGGGTTGGAACATTGGATTGCTTTGAAATAGTTGTTGCATTATTTATGTGGGTAAAATAACTTGGGATTAATGTATAAACAATGAGATGAGGGGGTTGTTTTAAAAGGCTATGTGGATTCTAATTATGCTAATAATAGAGATAATAGAAAGTCTACTACTTCTTATGTGTTTGCATTGTGTGGTTCTTGTGTGAGTTGGAAGTCACAGCTGCAACACATAGTTGCGCTGTCGACTACCGAGTTTGAATATATTGTTGTTACAGAAGCAATTAAAGAAGTTTTATGGCTTAAAGGCTTGTTGACTTAAATTGGTTTTGTATTAACTTTGAACAATGTGAGATATGTGTCTGATTTGTGTAATAATTTGCTATTTTGTGTTGGGCTAGAGGATATAGGACTTGTGGGAAAATGGGGTAATGGTGTAACGGAAGTTTTTAAAGGTTCTATGGTTGTGTTTAAGGATGAAAGGAGAAATAACATATATGTTACTAAGGTAGAGTCAGTAATGTGTGCTGAAAATATTTCTAATTCCGCGTGTGTTGAAAATGCTTTTAATTCCGCGTGTGATGACAAAACAGTCTTATAGCATAAAAGACTAGGTCATATTAATAACAAACGTTTAGAAATCTTAAGCAAAAGTGGTTGTTTCGGTAAAGATAAAGTGTCCTCTATGCCTTTTTGTGATGATTGTGTGTTTGGTAAACAACATAGAGTCCAATTTCAAAACACATCATCCCCTAATGTGCGATGTGTGGGGTCCTTCTAGTGAACCTACACATAGTGGAAATAGATATTTTTTTTCTCTATAATTGATAATGTTTCAAGAAAAGTATCGGTTTTTCTAATGAAAAACAAATCTGATGTTGTTGATGTTTTTAAAAATCGGAAAGTTTTAATAGAAAACCAAACAGAACATAAAATCAAATATCTAAAGATTGATAATGGACTAGAATTTTGTAACCAATGGATGGATTCTTTGTGCGTTGAATGTGGCATAAATAGGCATAAAACAGTCCCTTACTCACCCCAACAAAATCGGGTGGCTGAAAGGATGAATAGAACTCTCCTTGTGAGAGTAAGGAGCATTTTAACCTCGTCGGGTTTATCCAAAAAGTTTTGGAGAGAGCTGTTACTACAGCAACTTATATTATAAAGAGATCTCCTTCTAGGGCCTTAGAAAGCAAATCACCTGAAACAATATGGTTAGGAAAACCTGTGTATTTTTCAAATTTGAAAGTTTTTGGTTTTGCATAAACTTGAACCAAGGGCTGAAAAATGTGTTTTTTTTTAATATCCCGAAGGTGTTAAAGGTTATAGATTATGGTGTAGAAACTATCCAGGTTTTAAAGCTGTAATTAGCCGTGATGTAACTTTTAATGAACATGATATGCCATGTCTAAACAAAACCACTGCTGATTGTGATAATAGTCCAAATACGGTGGAGTCTAATAGAAATCCTGTTAATTCTTTTGAATTAAAGAGTGCTGAAATTGATTTTATGTCTGAAAATGATGAATTTAATTCTATTCCAACTGCTATTTCAGTTTTAGAGAGGTCTGAAAGTGATATTTTTGTACCAAGTGGTTCAAACTTGTGTGAATCTAATGCTGGTCCGTGTGTTAATGAAAGAACATGGAGAAATATTAGGCCTCCAACTAGATTAGATGATTATGATTTAACTTCATATGCTTTTAGTGTGTTTGATTCTCTTGATGGCAATGAACCTAAGGCTTTTAGTGAAGCTGTAAGATCGAAACATAAAAATAAATAATTTCAAGCAATCCAAGATGAAATGAATTTTTTGAAAGTGAATAAAACTTTGGGAATTAGTCCCAAAGCCTGAAAATTGTTTTGTCATTGATTATAATAAAATATTTTCTCCCATTGTAAAATTTTCTACTGTTCGTGTTATTCTTGCTTTAGTAACTCATTTTGATTGGGAACTTAAACAACTTGATATGAAGACAACATTTTTACATGGTGATTTGGATGAATATATTTACATGGAACAGCCCGAGGGCTTTGTAGATAAAACAGGTTTAATTTTGTGTGTTTGCTTAAAAAATCTCTTTATGGTTTGAAACAATCACCAAAACAATGGAATTTAAAATCTGATGAGAGCATTAAATCTTTAAATTTTAAAACAAGTAAATATCATAATTGCTTGTATTTTTTAAGAATGCTGGCAGCATACCTGTATTTCTTTTGATCTATATTGATGTTATGATGTTAATTAGTCCAAATCTGAAAATTATAGATCAAATCAACAAGTGTTTAAGTGATTATTTTGATATCAAATTTCTTGGTGATGCAAAAGTCATCTTAGGTATGCATATTAACAAGATAGCCAAAACAAAAATCTGTTTTTTGGGGCAGCCTACCTACATTGATAAAATTGTGAAAAAATTTAATATGTTCAACTCCAAAGCTGTTAATGTGCCACTTGCTTCTCATTTTTGTTTGAGTAAAAATCAATTTCCTAGAAGTGATTCAGATCTTGCATATATGAAAATTGTGCAATATTCGAAGGTCATAAGTTCAGTTATGTATCTCATGGTTAATACTAGACCCAATATTGCATATGATGTTAGTTGCTTGAGTAGATATGTGTCTAATATGTAGTTGGAACATTGGATTGCTTTGAAATGGTTGTTGCATTATTTGTGTGGGTCAAATAAGTTGGGATTGATGCATAAACAATGTGATGAGGGGGTTGTTTTAAAAGGCTATGTGGATTCTAATTATGCTAATAATAGAGATAGTAGAAAGTCTACTACTTCTTATGTGTTTACATTGTGTGGTTCT